TGAGAAGGGTTGGTGGGGAGGTGGGGGAAGGGCTCTTTACATTAGTGATGGGTGATAGAACAAGAGGAAATGGGTATAAGCTTAGTCAGGGGAGATTCAGGTTGGATGTTAGGAAGTATTTCTTCTCTGAAAGGGTTGTCAGCCACTGGAATAGGCTGCCCAGGGAGGTGGTTGAGTCCCCATCCCTGGATGTGTTGAAGAATAGGGTGGATGAGCTACTTGAGGATATGGTTTAATGGGGATTAGGGATGGTTGGACTCGATGATCTCTAAGGTCTTTTCCAACCTAGAAATCTATGAATCTATGAAAGCTTTGTTTCCCATGGTTGAAAAATTATCCACGTCTAGCACCAGAGATGGATACGCCTGGAGCATGACTATTATTTAGATGAAAGACTGACTGAGAAAGGGGAGATATTTGTGTGATGTATTTCAGGCAGCCTAACCGTATCTTTGTATGCTTTGGTGGCTGCCTCGGAACTGTTTCCACTTTTGAAGCTTAAAATAGTGCCTTCCTCTAAGTATCAACGTGCAATGCCTCCTATATTAAAAATACTCTATTTTCCAAAATAAAAACGGCATCAGTAACAGGCACAAAAATACTCATTCGATAAATAAGACTTACATTAATTCACACCTGAAAAAATAAGACTTTTTTCCCCCTCTTTCTATTCCATGTAATTTTCAAAAGAAAGGAAACCCTTAAAGACCTTTCTAAGAGTCCTAAAAGAAACTCCAAGAAAATAAGTATTATTTACTTTGCATATTCTGCAAGACAGTAAGCAACTTCCCAAAGAAGGACCACATACTCTTTTCAGTATCATAAATTGCCCTTGTTGAGATAAAAGAAAAATATAGCGCTGAAAAACTCCTGTGATTTTAAAACATTGTAAGAAGCAGACCATTAATTACCTGTCAGTATCACCATACACAACGTGAGCGCCCCATTTTTTGGTATCGTTCACCAGTTTTATAGCACGCTCCAATGTTTCTCTGGCTTTGTGGACAATGCTGTCCCCAACCTGCAAAGTTAAATGCAAAATCTTTATTCTACTGCTAAACCCAATATTAGCTTTTGGTAAACATAGTCTAACCTTGCTTGATCTGTTTATGAAAATTACTATATTGAGACAACACATTTTATTTCATGGTTTAAATGTGTATAGTAAATAAAAAGCTTGCTTACATTATCCTAAAATAGCAAGAATTAAAGGAAGAGGGAGCAAAAATTATTAAGAACTAAAATAAAAGGAAAATTTGGTTTAAAATTCTTCGGGCATATTAAGTCTAAGGAGCAAGACAAGATCACTTAGGATAACTTCCTCTAGTTTTTTGCTTCTGCTGATTTCACCTTTTATGAAAACTATGAAACAGCTAAAATGTTTTATTTTTTTTTCCACTATTAGAACTGAAATCCAATCTATGTTTGGAGACAGTTCTACAGAAATACCAACTCCAAATGCTCTTTTATGGGAAGAAGAAAAATAAGACACTTTTTTTTTTTTTTAAAAAAAAAATCACAAATAAATCTCAAGTTTTCAGTACTACAACTACAAAAAGCTTTTATGAAGGTATCTGGATTAAATATGTTTCAAATAATAATACTGTATTATCTGACTACATTTTATTAATAGTGTCATTTCCACCGTTTTTCTGCATTTTTATATGCAACCCTTACCTCAGTGCATGGCATTCTTCCAGAAAAATTAGCAGCAGTATAACCAAACGTGAAATTAGCTATAAATTTAAGACCCAACTGACGAGCTTCAAGCATTCGAGTTATAGCCTTGTCATGTTTATAAGCCTTCATTGACTGCTTCACCATTATCCTCGTCTTCAAGATTTCTTCTAGCATTCTTGGCAGCACACCCTTTCTTACTGAAGGCTGCCATAAGGGGAACAAAGAAAAAAATTATGTTAAAAAGCCCAACCTGAACAGTTAGGAGTAAAAGCAAAACCCAGAACTGTTAGATAATCACTGTTAAGAAGACAAAGTAATTAGCAAGATGCCCTAGGCACCAACCGTTTGGCTCTTCTCACAAATATTACAAGCAACCTAGAATACAGGCAAAGCTCTTAAGGGCAGAGTAAACAGCTTTTTGTTCTTTGTTTTCATCAGCCCTGCTAAAGCAATGTTTAGATAACCTTATTAACTAAAATGGGACTTCAATATTTAACTGTTAATTCTCAAAATGTTAAGTGCTAAAGGAATATTATCTTTTAAAAATTCTGCAAATATTCTTTACTTAAAGTTTTTGTTTTACATTAAATACATGTATGCTGGTGATTAGCTAACTATTTGTAAGAGCTCCAGGCCATATTTATTAAATCATTACAAATCAGCCAGCAGTACACATAGCATAAAACGAGAACAATAGAAAGCTTTAAGAGAGATATTGAGCTCCTGGAGCGGGTCGAAAGAAGGGCGACTAAACTGGTCAAGGGGCTGGAAAATAAAACTTATGGGGAGCGGCTGAGGGAATTGGGGCTGTTTAGCCTGGAGAAGAGGAGGCTGAGGGGAGACCTGATTACAGCCTACAAATACTTGAGAAGGGATGGTGGGGTGGTGGGGGAAGGGCTCTTTACATTAGTGATGGGTGACAGAACAAGAGGAAATGGGTATAAGCTTAGTCAGGGGAGATTCAGGTTGGATGTTAGGAAGTATTTCTTCTCTGAAAGGGTTGTCAGCCACTGGAATAGGCTGCCCAGGGAGGTGGTTGAGTCCCCATCCCTGGATGTGTTGAAGAATAGGGTGGATGATCTACTTAGCGATATGGTTTAATGGGAATTAGGGACGGTTGGACTCGATGATCTCTAAGGTCTTTTCCAACCTAGAAATCTATGAATCTATGAAAGCAAGTCGGGGAGTTTCATCTCCTGAACCACGACTCTTTTTCTAGGAAAGCATTCTGCTATACAGGCAGGAGAAGAATGAAGTGTTACGCACAGATAATTACTGTTTGATCCCCAAACTGCACAAGTAAAACACGGTTTAATTATAGATGAAATAAGCCTTCAGTATAAATGAAAGCATAAAGATGACGTTTTACTCCTGAACTGCCAGCAGCTTAGCGCTCTGACAAATAACAAAAAAACATGGGAAATGAGAGGCTGAACCTCCCCTCTTCTACCTGCTCTTAAAGCAGCAAAATATAAACTACAGTATCAATCTGATCTGAAGCCAGCCAGCCAACGGGAAGTGAAAACGCCCGTCTCAGAGCACTGATATCATTACCTTGACAAAAGCCACTCCACTGGGCGACACTGTGATATCATGCCTAATCTGGTAAAGTAAGTCGGGAGGTACTCTGAGAGATGTACAGCCAAATTTGAATGCGTCATATCTAATAAAGAGAAAAATTAAATATTAAGACAATTCATTAATTTGCAGCCGGACCAAGCAAAAGCATCAACTCACATTAAAATGCTGATCACGCCAGCAAGTATAGAATCACAATTATAATCTCAGGTATAAACAAACATACCATCATGAGTAATTTATCAACTCTGCTCTGCGCTAAGGCATTATTTCCAAATGCTGAGTTAGCGGAGGCATGTACTCAGGAATAGTTTGGGTTGGAAGAGACCTTTAAAGGTCATTAGTCCAAACCTCAATGAGCAGGGACATCTTCAGCTAGATCTGGTTGCTCAAAGCCCTGTCCAACCTGATCTTACCGTAATCCCTTATGGAAACCATGCATGTTTAATAAGTAATATATTGCATGTATGTTCTTCCTACAAATTCAGAATTTCAAATCAGAAACTTAAAAACCTGATGGTTACATATAGCAATCATTATATGCATCTTCCCATTCTTCCAAATACTGTTTTATAGAGGTAATTATAATGAGCCATGATTTTTTTTTCTAATTAACAGAATTGCTGTCAAGCTCAATAAGAGATGCTACGTGGAGTAACTCATTATATCTTTTCATTTTGATCAGTTAAGACCAGAGTGAACTACAACTGTTGAAAGAGAGCAACAATTTATTAACATACAGCAGAGTAACACTAGCCCTGTTTTGAAAATAGGTAGTGGATTTATATAACAAACATTTTAACTTATTCTGAAGCAATATTAAAAACTAGCGTCACCACAGTAGCAGCACAGGTGAACACACATGCACAGAGTTAATTTTTTTTTTTAAACAGAACAGAGTCTAATTCTGTATTTAATTAAAAATACATATGTATATGTGCATGTCTGTGTGTGCATACGCACATGCACATACCCACACAGTAGATCTTTATCAGCTCTGTTGTGTAACAGAAAATGGTGCTATTCATACATGCCCATTGTTTCCAAAGACAGTCAAGGGTTCTTGGTACCTTAGAAAAGATGCTAAAGTCTTTATGGAATCAAAGTTTGTGATAAAAGAATAACAACTTACTTTCCTAAGTTTTCAACATGTCCCAGGCAGGTTGAAAAACAGTAGTTGTATGCTATCACAATGGAAGGATATAATGACTGGAAGTCTAACACAAGAACAGCATTGCTGTAGAAGCGAGATTCCGGCTCCATTATTAGGGGAACACATTGCGGGGCTTTCATTTGAGCTCGCTGCTGGATACTGGGTGTCACAGGAATATAATTCATTGGCTTTGCAACACGCAGCATCATCGACTCCACACGATACTACAAAACAGTTTGGGTATAATAATTTTAATTATAATTTTAAAAACGCAGCACAAACATGAGTGTAATAAAACTGTGTAAATACACACATTTCCTGTATTTAAAGCACGGACAACTACTTTTCCAAAATAAATAGCCATACTCTTACTTTTAATGTATATTTTCTATCACATATAGCGGAACTTTTCCACGTGTTTCCTCATCATTTAGCCTTAATAATTGAACATTAAGTACTTCTATCTATGGAAAAAATAAACATCCAGCTCAGGTGAAAAAAATAAACATCCAACAGCCTGCAACAATATATACAGATGGCCATGCTACAGTCAGTGAATAAGCATTTGCCAAACTGTATTTTTGTTAGACTTGCAGAACATTGAAGAAAAGGTGTAATGTGCAGTTGCTGACCACTTTCCATGGAAATCTGCACAGCCACTTTATTTCAACATTTGGGAAAACAGAGAAATGACATGCAAGTTGTGTAAGTTGATAACTGCGCCTCCCAGCTTTTGACTATAAGAAGTAACTACAATGTACTTGGCAGCAGGAGAACCAAGGGAAGAATCTAAGTCAGTCCATTTCAGAAGTCTGCTGCTTTGCACTGGGTATCATGCTTTGTACCTGATGATGCCACAAGTAGTACAGGAAGCATAAAATAACAAAAAGTTTAAGAACTTTCACGTTGTTCAAGACATCACAAAATGTCGCATGTGGAGGTCGCAACACAAGGGAAAAACAGTCCTATTTATTTATGTATTATTCAATGCTTTAGTAAGACTTTAAAAGTACTAATAGCCAGGTATTCACTGTGTCTGTTCACAGTAAAAACCAAAATAGGTGAAAGCTACACACATGGATGGCAAAGGATTGAAAATCCAAAAATATCTAAGAACAATCCTATATAATCCTAAAATCATAGAATCATAGAATGGTTAGGGTTGGAAGGGACCTCAAAGATCATCTAGTTCCAACCCCCCTGCCATGGGCAGGGAAACCCTCCACTAGACCAGGTTGCCCAAAGCCTCATCCAACCTGGCCTTGAACACTTCCAGAGATGGGGCATCTACAACTTCTCTGGGAAACCTGTTCCAGTACCTCACCACCCTCTGAATGAAAAATTTCTTCCTTATATCTAATTGAAATCTGCCCTCTTTCAATTTAAAGCCATTGCCCCTTGTCCTGTCACTACACGCCTTTGGAAAAAGTCCCTCTCCAGCTTTCCTGTAGGCCCCCTTTAAGCACTGGAAGGCTGCACAGCCTTCTCTTCTCCAGGCTGCACAGCCCCAACTCTCTCAGCCTGTCTTCATAGCAGAGGTGTTCCAGCTCTCGGATCATCTTTGTGGCCCTCCTCTGGACCTGCTCCAGCAGCTCCATGTCCTTCTTGTGTTGGGGACTCCAGAGCTGAACGCAATATTCCAGGTGGGGTCTCACGAGAGCAGAGGAGAGGGGCAGAATCACTTCCCTCGACCTGCTGGCCATGCTCCTTTTGATGCAGCCCAAGATATGGTTGGCTTTCTGGGCTGCCTCGAAAATCCTGTGCTTTGCAACTAAACCACTGTTCAAAAGCCTTCTGCCTGACGCACTACATACTCAATTATTATACTGAATGGATTAGGTAATTTCTTTAACTTTGATGTTATAAATGAACTTACAGGACCAATAGATTTAACAAGACCCTGCTACCTTACAAACAGGTTGGGGTTTGAAGGTGTATTTTTTGAAGGTGTATTTTTTTAAGGTTTTGTATGCTGTCTTGCACTAACTGCGCACTAACTTGTGACCAGTGATGAGCTCCGATGTGTGATGAGGTGGTCAGGGATTGGATCTGGCAACAGCTAGGTGTTTTTTTTTTCTGGTTTTCAGCAAGTTCTTCAATCATCTGACTAATAAGCCAGATGCCTACGACCATCTCCTGTTAGATTTGTTTATTGTACTATGGAATATTTAAGACAGCTTAATAAAAGAAAAGAAAAAAATCACCTTTAAAAAAGGTCTTGTAAAACTTCGCAAGAGATACAAAAATATGCAAAAAATAAAATATCTGAAATCTGTTCTTAGTACTATTCCACTTTAACATCTTTTTCATCTAAGGAGAAAAGGCATATCTTCATAAAAGTTAGTGATGATTCTTCTGAGTGAAAAAAAAATTATTTGAGGTGACTGGGAATTGTTGCAACTGCCATTTTTGTGATCTAGAAAGTTTCAATGGAAACAAAACATACACGCACAGAAGGAAAGAGAAAAGAACAGTCAGGATAGAAAATGCAGCACGTTTCTGTTGCTCACTCCCACTCACAGCCATTTGAGAAGACGACAGGCAGAACAGTCTTTGTGGGATGCAATCATGACAGTTTAAGCATATCTACGTTGGCAGTATGCCAGTCCCCCCCTCCCTGTCCCTAACTGCAGATTTCTGTTCCCTTCCTCCAACAGCGGTACTTTTCTGATAACATGGTAGACCAGTCAGGGAGCTAAACTGGTAAATATCTACTAAGTGCCACAATGGTTCTGCTGCCAGTGCCACACTGCCCCACACCCCCCAAAAAAATAAAAATAAAATAAATAAATAAAAAAAGAAGGCAAGACCAGAAGAACCTGCACTGGGTTGAGAGATGACGCAGGCAACTGCAGTCAAAGGAAAAAAGGTGGCAACATTTTTAAATTGGGTTGAATCATTAAGGAACTGCAGCTTCAGACACTTCTGTTTCTGGCTGGCTTAAGACAATGCTGGTCTGCTTAGGACATTAGTTTTTAAGTTGCCTTTTTGTCCACAGAAGTTGGCAAAGTAATCAGTCCTGGTCACCTCAGCTAAATGTCTATTGAAACAGAAAGCAGAAAGATGGTAGGAGAGGACAACAGAAGAGCAGACACACGTGAGCAAGAGTAGTTGTCTCGTTTCAGGTGCTGTTCAGGGCTCATGTGAAGCCAAGAAAACACTCTAGTTAGTGTAGTCACTCAGAACCTGGGCAAGCAAAGCCTTTGGTATTACTGGAGACTGCTGGGGTCTTAAAGAAAGAGTAGTGTAAATCGCACTCTGACCGGCTCCCGTTCCCTCTGATGCTAGTATCAAAATAACAGAACCACACGCATCTTGCATGACACGTGTACTTAATATAGCCGGAGCCCTTCTTGTCTTATCATCAGATCTCACCTAGAGGTATGTGTCACAGAAAATGTCACTTAGAACACAGTCGATGCAGCTTTGTCTTCCCTGGAAGAAAATAATCTCATCTTTCTAAAAGATGCTCAGTTATATTTCTTTATGTTTTAAAAAGCATTCATTTTCAGACTCCTGTAAGTGTGAAAAATATCAACTCGAAGGGAAAACTCAGTGCTCCTAAAGTCAGAAGAGACTCACTGGTGTGATTACATTTGGGGCACTCTATGTTTAACAGCTATTTTTAATCTCTGAGACTAACCACCCAACCCATTATTACTGCTTTTGAATTGCCTTTCTTTACGTTTCAATTTCATGTTATGCAAAACAGTCTTCTGTGACCTTATGAAAATACATATACTGACTGAAAACATACTGAAGAAATAAAACACTATGTAAAGATTATTTTGCTTTTGTGAAGTGTAAGGCAAACTAAATCTTACCTGGGAGCCTCTTGTTAATACATGTAAGAACTGAATCCCAAAAAGTCTCGCCATTTCACTTGTCCTGTCAATCAAATCCAGTTTGTCTAACAGCTGGAGATTCCCACGGACCCGGCTAACATAATGATCAACCATTTTCCACCTGTGAAAGTGAACGCCTTGTTATTAACAGTCAGGAGAACGCTGCTCTTTCTACTAAGAAAAATCTATTTTTATGATAGCTTGTTACAAACCAGAAAATAAAATTTCCCCTAGGACATTTTCATACGGCTCTTTCAAAAACATGGTGCACATAAACATAAACTTACATATTCTAAAGATGTACAAAGAATGTGTTACAGCAAACTACTGTTAAGGCATATCTCAATGACATACTATATCCTGTTTTCTTTACTGCCCTAAAGGATTACTGGAACAGGAACTCGTATTTCTCTTCATCTGTCTTTTTCAACCAAGTGGACTTTCGTGGAAACATCCTTCTGTATTAAGAACACCTATCTCAGTTGAACATAAATTTATAATTTCACGAAGTTTCCATCTACTTGAAAGGTATTTAACTTTTACAGAATTTATATGTATGTCATGAAAGATGTTCAGATCAGTATTCAGTTTTATGAATTGTTCATATCACACAGTACCAGATAACTCCAAGGAAGAGTGAAGTCCAGCGTGTCATATAAAGGTATTATAGTTACTGTCTTAACTATAGTTACTTAACATCTTGCACATTGTTCTATACTATTTTTAAGCCTAGCTTGGTTGACATGCACTGTGAAGTAAAACAGAAACCTGACAGCTTGTTAGAAGTCCCTCTGATGAACAGTATATACAAAATAAAGACCTTACAGAACTTCAAGACAGTACATCTATTCAGGTATGTTGAAACTGTAACTGAAATTTTGTTTTGGTTTTGTGTACTTTAAACAGAAAAATACACAGAGACGAAATATTCAGGGTATAACTACACAACAGAACAGCAGAGTAAATAAGCTCATGTTGCTGCATATAAACCGTTCTAGTACCTGAACTAAATTGATTATTTCTTCCCATGCTGATTTTCGCTTATACCTATCCAATGTTAACAAAATGCATTAATAAATAGATCATTACCTGTAGACATCTGCCTTATTATCAAACCAATCAGACAGAACTCGGAAAGTAAATAAAGGAAAACGTTGATGAAGAACATGAAAGCCCACATTTTCAAAAGTGTAATTCATTAGATTCACCTAGAAAAACAGAGGACGTGTTAACATGCATGATGTCTTTCATAATCAAAGAATCTCTACTTTTTAAATCCTGTAGCAACTACACTTATTAACCTTTTATTAGCATTCTCTGTTAAAAGGTAGACATTTACACTTAGAAGTCTCTATTTACAAGTCAGGAAAGAATATCTCTCATCAATTGAAAAAAATATGTAGAATTAAGTAGATCACAAAGATCAGGTCTGAACTTGGTCAGAACAAGATTTGTAAAGACTGAACCATTTGAGTATTAAATGTAAAGTCATAAACAGCAAACCAATCAGTGAGTCTGACAGCTTAAAATAAGTTAAAGTGTTTAATTTAGTAAAAACATCATACTAGACAAATTGCTAAAACAAGTAAGTTGTTCTCAAAACCCACAAAGTGAAAAGGAATATCATTAAGAAACATACTGAAAGATAAGGGCTTCAGTATTTTACATTTTAGCCATATGCAAATGGCCATTCTCACAAGGTGGCAGACTGCTCTATTTGAAAAGGTGTACAAATAAAGAACAAAAAGTTAGGTCAGTTAGACGGAATTTTCAACAAAGTCTACAATAATAAAAAAAACCCCAGTAAGTCAAATACATTAACCTTCTAAAAACTTTACCTCATTTCTCATCATTCTCCAAATATTTAAGACAATTCGCCCAACAATATTTATTTCACTCATTGTATCTGATCCGTATTCATCCATCTCAGCTGCAAATCTGTTCTCTTTCTTTTCATCTAAAGGCATTAAAAGAGAATATATTTACACAACTCATAGGACAGTCAAGACAAGACCAAGCTATCCCTCTTCCAATTTGAGCTCTTTTGAAAAACAAGAATTCATAGACTTGTTACTGATTGCACAAAATTATTTATTTACCAGTCTTCCACTCAATCTCTAAATAAAACTCCCCTAGGTTTTTCTGCTCTCGCACATCCGTTTGAAGATAACTCTTACTTTGGTTTCACTGAAATGGTGCCCATAGCAAATACATTGGTTAAGCAGTGCTGCACGTTACTTGTACGCTAGCTGCACACGTTAGTGCACAACATAAAAAAAAAAAAAAAAAGAAAAAAGTGATTTCTGCCTTAAAGAGTTTATAACTCAAGGCTTTACTTTTAATGATCTTACACAGTTGGAACCAGGTCATAGGAGAGAAAACTCAGTGCCTTTCACACAGTAAAAGCAAACCCACTGCAGTGGGAGCAGGTAGACATAAGTTCTGGATAGCACAAACAGAGAGAGAAGGAAATAGGCAGGAACAAATGCAGAGGCAGAAGTAGCACTCCGAATCTTTCTGTAAGACAGTGGTGACTACGGTATAGGAAAGACATACTCTTTTGCCATCTTTGTTTTTTTCATGCTTTGAAATACTACAACACAAGAGAAGACAGTCTTTTTGGTATAGGTTTCTTGAAAGTCTTTCAAGAACCTAAGTTCAGTCAGCCTAAGGCTACAGTTTTGGTAGTCTTTCTGAGTTTACAAAGACTTTTTTAAAACGGCACAGTTTAAAATTCAATATGAAAACACACTGTACTATTTGATCCTCCAGTCTTGTTCCTTCTTATTAGCTTAATGGAAGAGAAAGCACTTTGAGGCACTTTTCCCACAATTCTGAATCCATACCCATTTTTCAACTGTTGGCTGTGAAATTTATCAGATATCCCTGAACAGTGCCCTACTAATAAGCAGAACATTTTAGACAGAGCGTATAGACGCGTGGACACACAATGCTTTGCATTAATGATCAGAACTGAGCAATTAATTCCTCAGACAGCCATGAAGCACATTCACCCTTGAAGACAGAAGTAAAAATTGCCTGAAATTCTGCAGAACTGCTGTGAAACAGTGTAACACAGCAGTTACGTTCATCTTTCAAAAGTGTATCATACCAATCAAAATATGGTTAAGAAAACCTATTTGTCATTTAGTGACCGTACCAATAAATCACAGAGCCTTGACAAAATTTAGTAGACTTTTCACACACTTTATCAAAACGCACACCATCTTTTTAACATCCTTATTATTTCAGATTTTTAAGGAAGAAAAATAGCAATTTCTCTTTTCATGTTTGGATGGAAAAAATGTCCCACAAGCAGCAACGTTTTTTCTTCTGCTCTTCTTCATTTCCACATGCTGGACCTCCTGTGAAAGTGAGGAACTTACTTCCCCCTCCCCCCAATATTTTTTTTGTTGGAAGCAGAAACTATCAGTGAGTTCTGCTTTCTGCAGTGTCATCCTAGTTCTCTTTTGACTTGTTTAGGAGATTCCCTGTATTTCTTCAGTTCGCTTCATGTCTTGCTGTAAAGACAGGTGACATACTGTGGTCACAAGAGACCCACTGCCATGATGAAGAAGAGACTCTGCAGATGATGAGCGTTGGAAAATTACAAAAAACTTGTAGCGCTCTACAACTGGTGTGGGGAATATATCACCAGAACCACATGAACCTCTTTGGAAACAAAGTTGTTAAGAAGCAGAACTGGACATTCTATCTTTTAAGGGTGCATGATGAAACAAAAAGAAGTCTTCTCTCATCCTCTGTTACCCACTCCCTAACTTTGAGCTGTGATGGAAAGGAGGAAATAGGAGGCCACAGAGCACACACAAAAAATGCCGCTACACACAGGCACAGTACTCACTTCTCTTGTGGTGTGTCCTAATGACTTATGAATAGTTCACTTGTAAATGGCAGAGGCAGCACCAGACTCAGCCAATAAAGCAAAACCAGAGAGAAGTCCAGCTTTCTTTTTGTTAAGTTGAAATCACAGGAAAGGGAAGGAAAAGTACCTTCCATCTTTATTTCAATAGGAGGAAAGAGGAGCATACTGCTTGAAGGAGCACTTCCTGTTCTGAAAATACAGCATGTGAAGAAGGGAGGGAAATATGAAGCATAGGGGTTGGAAAAGCAAGAGGAACATAGATGGGGTCAAAACCATGGACAAGGAGGCCACAAAGCAACAGAGAACACAACACTTGAATGTTTATGGTCATGCATGCAAGCCCACACTTAGGCATGACATTTCTGGGAGGAGCTCATCAGTGTGAACATTTCTGTATCTTCCTCCTGCAGTTCAGTCAAAAAAGAATAATTACTTACCTTATAATAACACTAATTTTTAGAAACATTTTAAGTGTTCTGTATTCCACTTCTGGGTGTGCATCTACCACCGGGCACAAGAACATCTGTTCTATGAACACCAGTGCTGTGGAGATCATGCCTACAGCCCACATGCCCACCCGAACTTTATGTCCAAATGTTAAAGGCTACAACCCTGGTTTCCTTCACTAGAACTGAACCCGTGTTGTGTGGGAAACACATAGGGACATCACCACTAAGAACCATACAGTTCCCAGAGAAGTAACCTTTTTCTTTGGGGAACTCTTCATGTTTATCTCAATTCCAGTAACTTGAACAACAGTTTATGTCACAAAGATGGGTACTATTGAGAGCTTTGCTGATGTAACTGTTGATTCTCCATCAACTACAATGCAGACACAGCTGTCCCGCAAGACAAGAGCTGTGACAGCCTTTGAGAACAAAAGCAGAGACACATTAGTTACCTGTCCTGAACTGAAGAGATTGTTCAGCTATACTTCTACAGCAGCGCAGTAAACCTTTGCAATCTTTGGAGGTTTAAGAAATCTTCGACTGCAACACTTATCAGTCCTCTTATCAAAGACATTGCAAACCTTGAAGTGTAAGGGGTCAAAAGTTTTTCTGAACATCTTTCAATACCTCTGAAGACTGTACCCAGAGATGTTACTATTGCAACCAGTGTACCATCTCAATTTGAGCCATCAGGGGAACAGGTTCATGCAATCAGTTATTATTTCTGAAGAACAAATTTGAGACCTTCGTGCTGAAGGACACTTGTGATCTTTGATGGCCAATTCATATTTAAACTGTCATGTGTTCCTGCTTTAAAATATTAAGTATCTTAAGGTTGCCCAGAGAAGTTTAGATGCCCCATCCCTGGAAGTGTTCAAGGTCGGGTTGGATGAGGTGTTGAGCAACCTGGTGTAGTGGAGGGTGTCCCTGCTCATGGCAGGGGGGTTGGAACTAGATGATCTTTGAGATCACTTCCAACCCTAACCATTCTATGATTCTATGATCGAAAAATTCACGAAGGTCCAGTCACCAACAACTTCCAACTGAAGATGCGAGGCACAGAGGATGCCAACATAAAAGATGTTATTGCTATGCTGGGTAAGCACAAAGACACAACTAGCCCAGTATCATGTTCTATCAAGTACCCAAAAGCAGATGCTTCAAGAACAGGTGAAGCATCTATTGATAGTCTCTCTAGAACTCTCCCAGCTTCTAACCATTTGCAGCTTCCTGGGCCAGACATTTTCCCATATGTAATAGCTCCCAATGGACTTTTCTTCCAAGAATTTATCTCCGCTTTAAGCATTTGTACTATCGTGTGGTAAAGAACTGAACAGTTCAACAACCCAGAGGTGAAAAATCAACTCCTATTCTGTAGCTGCCATTTGCTAGCTTCATTTGATGATTTCCAGTTCTCGCATTGGAAAAGACCATGACCAACCAATCCGTATTTTCCTTTATATCCTTCAAGATTTCATAGGCTTTTATCTTTCTTACCCAGTTTTGTTGCTTCTGGATTCTTAACTTACTAAATTACTAGACACATTCGGATTACCCTTCTCATCTTTACCAGTTCTCCTATATCCATTTGGATGGGGGAAAGGTTACGAAGAGGCTAGAGTATTTGAGGTGCAAAGCAAACTATAGATCTTTACATTTACATTCATTGTTTTATATTTTCCTTGCTCCATAATTCCTAAAATTTCATTTGCTTTTTCAATCAATGGTGTTGTGGACATGCTGGAGGGAAGGGATGCCATCCAGAGGGACCTTGACAGGCTGGAGAGGTGGGCCTGTGAGAACGTCATGAAGTTCAACAAGGCCAAGTGCAAGGTCCTGCACGTGGGTCGGGGCAATCCCAAGCACAAGTACAGGCTGGGTGGAGAATGGATTGAGAGCAACCCTGAAGAAAAGGACTTGAGAGTGCTGGTGGATGAGAAGCTCAACATGAGCTGGCAATGTGCGCTGGCAGCCCAGAAAGCAAATCGTATCCTGGGCTGCATCAAAAGAGGCATGGCCAGCAGGTCGAAGGAAGTGATTCTGCCCCTCTCCTCTGCTCTCGTGAGACCCCACCTGGAATACTGCGTTCAGCTCTGGAGTCCCCAACATAAGAAGGACATGGAGCTGCTGGGGCAAGTCCAGAGGAGGGCCACGAAGATGATGCGAGGCCTGGAGCACCTCTGCTATGAAGACAGGCTAAGAGAGTTGGGGCTGTTCAGCCTGGAGAAGAGAAGGTTCCGGGGTGATCTTATAGCAGCTTTCCAGTACCTAAAGGGGGCCTCCAGGAAAGCTGGAGAGGGACTTTTTACAAGGGCGTGTAGTGATAGGACAAGGGGCAATGGATTTACACTGAAAGAGGGCAGATTTCGATCAGATATAAGGAAGAAATTTTTTACATTGAGGGTGGTGAGGCAGTGGAACAGGTTGCCCAGAGAAGTTGTGGATGCCCCATCCCTGGAAGTGTTCAACGCCAGGTTGGATGAGGCTTTGGGCAACCTGGTGTAGTGGAGGATTTCTCTGCCCATGGGAGGGGGGTTGGAACTAGATGATCTTTAAGGTCCCTTCCAACCCTAACCATTCTATGATTCTATGAATCATTACAGAATAACATGATCAAGTTTTTAATAGGACAATCACAGGAAAGCACTTCTTATTTCATGGCTATTTAGTTTCTGTACAGATCTTTGGCAAGCGCCCTAACAAAAGCAGCTTTTTCAATCATTCTGATTTTTAAAATCATTATCTTCCTCATCCACATCTTGATGACTATGAAGAGCTACAACAAATTCTGGAGACAGTTTTTAATTTTACAAAGTCATCTTAACTATTCTCAGGTGCAACACATTTATTTAGCTGTTCACTAACTGCATTCTTTACAATGATAGCTTTTATTGATTGGCTAAGTATAGACAATAGGCTTACCACTCTCCTGGATAACTTTCCCCAGGTTTTCAAGAAAAAACCCCAAACAGATCTTTTTCTGAATGTTGGAGGGAAGCATCAGCACTTGGGCAAGTAAAATTTGCCCACAGTACAAGAATGGCTATTGAAAGTAAGGGTTTTCTTACAGAGCTGCTGACCAGGACAAGTGCTGCTCAGGTTCATCTTTATGTCCTCATATCCCAGCCAGAGAAACTGCAAATAACGATTATGAGAGGTACTCTGAATGACATATACACATGACTGAAGCCAAGAAGCAAGAGAAGGTTTGGTAGCAGAAGGAACCCCAAAACAGGAAACAACACACACAGCTACTGAAAATGAGTCTAGGTTCACGGATATAAGACACCCAGAAGTGGAATACACAAGGAATTTAAAAATTCAGAAAACATTGAAAACCAGAATCTCATTGATATTTCAAGTTTGGGTTTTTTTTGGTGTGATTATACCTATAACAACACAATGGCAACAACAAAAAGAGATCCATCTGAAGAAATACTCTGCATTTATTTTTTTAATTTATTCATAGACTATTGGAACTGAAACCCTATACAATAACTTACCTGGCACACGAGAAATCATCTGGCATAAATCAACATTTAATGCAGCAGCCCTCTGTAAGAGATAACCCCAGGAATGCATCTGGACTTCATAGCCTAATAAAATGTCTGGGTCATATCTAGAGAGAGGGGGGAAAAAGAAAAATGAGCTTCATGTTATTTAAGAAAATATTTTCCATGAACAGAGTACAAACAGGATTTCACTCTAATCACATTGAGTTTAAAGAAAAAGCAGTCACAATGGGTTTCTATGAAAGCAGCATCCAGACTAGGGGACAATATTTAAAACTGTGACAGTCTTTTAGGATTTTAAATAACATTCAACTGAAAAATTTTTTAGAAGGAATATTTTCAGTGGAATTTTTTTCTTCCCCCACATACTCTTATTATTTCAGTCTTTACAAATAAAGTACAAAATCTAGGTCTAATTAGGTTTTATCGATGGAATCAGGCTGTGTTGAGCATAAACTGAAATCTAGCTACCGTCACAAGAGAGATGTGCAATGAAATACAGCTTGTCTTCAAACTTTGTTGTACTATTTCCCTTTATGAAATAGAACAGAATTTGCTACTAGGCTACTTGGATGTTTTGCAAATAACATGTCACGCATACTGCAGTGTAGCTTATAATAATCAGAGGCCACTTCTAGTCCTAAATGGTGACTCTTTGTTGGGAAAGTTACAATTCGCAGTTGAGTGATAGCTGTGAAAACTGAAACATGGAGAAAGGCAACTGTATGTACCAGTTCTATTTAAATACCTCTTCCTTTAAGATAACCTTCTTTCTATGAGATAGACAAGAAAAACCTCATTTTATTCTGTATCTCATGCCAGGTGGAAAATTTGACTGGCTCAGATATGACAAAAAGAAAAGTCATAATTGTCTTCTGACACAGTCACTGCCCATCTTCCAGTCAGGCTCAGAGAAAAGCTGACTAAACAAAAGGACAAACAAGGTGGCTTCAAAGTCAAACCACAGGAAGGAGTCAGCTCAGAGGAGCCTGTATCACCTACTTTTTGAGTAGACACTATTAAAACCAGAAGTCATGATCTGGTCACTTGCTGAAGAGCCTAAGAATGATTTTCTTGGGCTAGGCAGAAGCGGGGGGTGGGCGGGGAAGAGGAAGCTTCGCTGGGAAGAATAGCTAATTCTTTCAGTGCAGCTCAGTCAAGAGGTTTTGAGTTCCAGCAGGCAGCATTCAATACAACTGAATGACAAATGGGCAGCTGTCAGGAGGTAGAGGACTGGACGATAGGTTGAGCACCCTGTACCGCTGTCTATGCCCAACCCCATGACACGATGCAGGCTTGTAGACCTTAGTTCATGGGAGAAGTAGGCAAGGACCTTGGCTTATGAACAGGATCTCTGTACTTTTTGCATCCTTAAACACATCAAAAAAAGCCAGTATTTCCTGACTGGTGGATACAGGAGTATACCCTTTCCCCGAATTGTAGAAGTGTCTTCCTTGCTAGTGTGTCCCAGTGAAAGGTAGATGACAACTCACTTTGAAGTAACTAACTACTCTGAAAATAGCTCCAGAAAAGAGCTCATCCACACTTCTGTCATAGACATTAACTTTTCGTAAAAAATAAAGGGAAAAGCATTTTAATCTGCTTAATCAGCATGGCTATCTCTTTATAACAATTTGTGCTTTTGCACCAGCCAGGAAAAGTTGCAAATGTCCCTTTTACCACCTACTTCTATGTGTGAAGGAATGGTTTTGACACAATCTTCAGCTAAAGCAGAAGATTCTAAAGTAAGCTTTTAATTTCTAGCATTTTAAAGAAAGTAAAAGAACTGGCATCTTGCATTTGCAGGGGTATTTTGCTATCTGCTGTTAATGGCAAATGAATGATTCTTTGCTTTTGGAGACAGGAAATGATCATCGGGAGTAGAAGTAGTAAATTTACTCATTTTGGAAGCCTAATCTACCAGTGGTACAAACCTGAAGCTACCTGGAACAATTTATGGACAAATGAATGAAGCTAGCCTACAGTTCCTTCCAGCAGCAATGTCAGTGTTAAAAAGAATTACAACCACTTGCTGCTCTGCATAACATACAATGATTGTCAACTGAGGTTCCAAAATTATGAGTAGCTCCATCTAAGCTATGAAATAAAAAGGAATTATGGAATGGTTTATACAGTCATAGAATAAATGTTAAAAAAATTGACGTATTTTCACGTTAATTCTTGCAGCTGAACTATCCTGGTCCTAGCATATTGCAAAACACTACTGACTATTTAAAATGAAGGAAGTAGTCATTGACATTCATATTTGAAAACTGGTTTCACATAATTCAAAATGGAAAATACTTGTAGATTTTATGCAGGGCAAGACGTTATGCAGATGGGTTCTAAGATAGATGCAGACGTGAATGAGAAACTTGTGAAGAACTTGTGAAGAACTGCTTATGTGGTACATAAAACAGTGTTCATTGTGCCAGGAATTTGCTTGCTCTTTTAAGCCTGTTCTGAACAGAAACAAGCATACTGTTTGGAAGCAGCAAGTTGCCATAACTATATTAGCAGCTACCACCTGTGATGAAGGACAGCTGCTTTGGGTTTTTCCTTGCCCAAGTAGTGCATCACCTCCCTCACTTCCTACTTAACCAAATTTTAGTGGGCTATTACATTACTACTGAAAATACCACTATTAGTATTGCAACTGAATACAATATTTCATCAATTCTTGAGTTAATCTTACTGTTCTCTTTTAAGCTAATGAATAAAACAACCTCTGTAAACCATCTGCATATAATCTCAAGAGTTATTTCTCTAGTGTCCTTCAGATGGGCAGATATTTTATAGGACAAGACATAAAATCACTGTAGTTTATGATGTTTTCAGATGCCTGCATTTTCTTATATAAATTGCATTTAACTTGAGTATTACATATTTTAACACAATTTTATGTAAATTCAGATGTAGATTGGAAAGTTTATCACTCAAAAAGATTAAAAAAAATAATTGGTGTGCTAGTTTGGAACTCAGTCTTGCTTGTACAGGCCATTAGGGATTGCCTATAACGGTACATTACTGAGCCACAGTGTATCACTTTACAGTGTATTACTTACTCCGCTTTTCCTTCGCAACTAGACATTGCAAATGCATTGAGGGGAGGGTCTCATTTAAACTAATTTTGGCATCTTGAGTTTTCTAAGCTGGTCTCTTTATTGTAATTGAAGAAAAAAAGCCTCTTTGGGTGAACTATTCCTTATCTTTTAGCCATCTCTTGCAGAATGATATCCTGTTCTTTCCTTTTAACATACATGGTGATGAGGGTAGCTACTTAGACACTGACAATGAAATACAGATGTCTAAGTTTCAGTCAGACAACTCTCATACAAAGCTATCTACATGGAAAATCAAGGTAGAGTAGCTATCCTGAAAGCACGAAAAACGATAAACACACTACCAGCAACTGAGTTGCTCAGATACTGCAGTAAGTTGCACTTACATGTATTTTGTATATATATATCTGTATGAATTCACAATGTATATGCACAAAGGACTATAATTAGTATTAACAAATCTATGGATGCTTAGGTATTTCCTTAACTTTAAAATCAAAATAATTTTTGGTTAATTGTATCTCTGAATTATCTTTGAAGGAAAAAACAAAGGAAGATTATATTCAAGTAGAACTCCTTTCTACTGAACAACACTTGAGACCCTAAACTCCTGCACTACAGTATGCATAAAGTCTACCTTAAGCAGTAGGTTTAACAGACCTATCAGATTTCTTGCACCTAACATGAGGGGCTGCTGTTCCTTTCTTCTTATTCCCTTGCTGATCAACTCCGTCTCAATTCATGCAGCAGAAGTGCCCTCTCCTGCAGCCTAATCCCATGTACCAGCTGTACCAATGGACCAATGTGTCGTTTGTTGAGATCTCCTGTGGTATTCTTTTTGCTATTAGAGAAGAAGAGATGCCTAGAGCTAAAAGAAGACATTATTCCAAATGGTAAAATGAACAGGTAAACCCAAGGTTTAGCTGGTGTGAGCTCAACTGAAGTCTATCTCTCTTTCGCTTTCTCTCTCGCCTTTTCATGTGGTACCACAAAGACGACAGGCTGTGAGCTAAGAAGGGGACAAGTTTTATATTTTTCATCCTTCCTTCTCACAATTTTTACACTATAGTATCCAGTTGGTCTTCATCATCAGTGTAAGCTGTTTTATTAAAAGAAATTGTAATGAGACCAGCTTTTACACCTGCAAGAAACTAGTAAGTTGTAATACTGGTATTTGAAAGCTGCTGGCTAGGACTCACACCGCAGGGGTAAGAGGTGTGCCTGCCAACACAGTGCTCTTTTGTTAAAAGGACAGGCACTGATAGTGCTTTGCATGCTGTTGCCAGTCTCTCTGCAAAGATGAAAGGCAGCATTTATACTGGCAGGATTTAAAGACGACAGCATTAGCATTCAACTCATACATGCTGCAGAGAGAAGAAATGCAATTATTTTCCTTTCTAGCTAAGTCATATGTGCTGTTATGCCATCTCTTCCTCTTTCTCATTTGATAGTTGCGTGAACGAACACTAAAGCTCCCAGTTATGCCTTCCCTTCTATTATGTGTCTGGTATTCCTGACTGCTATTTTTCTTCCAGCTAAAATTGAGAGAAAAAGAGGAAAAAAAAAATTAGGCCAGACCTATGATACAGACAAAAGCAGTAACTGTGCATGGCAGCAGAATACTCGGTGACTCAAATACATAACTGAAATCTTTGAAGACATTTTTCCAGTTTGCTTTGGACAATAAAAATCCATAAAGTTGACACAGGACATTAAGTAAAGATTTCTACAGGAAAATATCACAGAAGATGATACTGGTCTGGGAAAAGAAGGTTAGATTAACACATCTTTATTTTAAAAAGAAAACGTTGCTAGTGCATTTACAGAAGAACAAATATAATTGTTGTAATTACATTGTATCTAATATAAAAAATTGATTTTACAAGAAAAACATTATACAAAATATTTAAATGTTAAGTATTAACAACTAAGTAATTTACAAATGTTTCATCCCCAAAATCTTTAAGAAAAACCTTACCATTTCATACTCTGTTTTTGTACTTTTATCAGAAACTACTTCCATGGGGAAAAGAGCCATGGGTGGCTGGTGAGTCTCAAGTAATAGCAAACCTACTACTTTTTTTCAAGCCCCTCCTGTTTCCACATCCTCTGTGTGTCATGGAGATAGGGACTGTGCATTCCCACATAAATTCCCCAAATTTTGCTCCTCTCATGCCTACAGGACCAGCCCTTTTCTGCCATCTGGTAGTACCTGCAACTTACGGAAGAGTGGTACCATTTGCCTTAAAAGTGTAGGAGAGGCCCAGACATTTAATTTCTCATTCATGGGAATCCACTGCTCCATCAGGCTTGGACATCTCTAGATTTCCCGCATTTTTTAAATCTCCAAGACAAACATTCTCATAGCATTCTCTTTCTCCTCCAACAGCCAGCTTTCCTGCATTTTGTACTGACTGGTTTATGGAGCTATGTAAATGTGTTTACTCTTTTTTCTGCCTTTAGGTTCAGAAAGAGAGGTGGTTCTTTTTTACTTTTTCAAGCAGACAGAATCTTCCAATTTTTCTCTCAACTCATTGCAGCTGACACCTTATGATAAAGAGAGGTCTATTCAAGAAGGCTGTTCAGGCAGCTTGACAGAATCCTTTAGGACAACGATATAGGTACAAGCTCCACTTCAAGAAAAAAAAAATTAATTTGCCCTATGACAACTCCAAAGAGCCTAGCTTGGCTCTCTGTGCTTGCAGATCATCCACACTGCCTGCACATGACGGGAAGGAGGTTGTTTCTCAGCTGCTTTATGTCAGTTTTGAGCTGAAGTCCTATTTTTTTTGTCTACAGCCAGAGGATAGCTTACCAGAGAATGGAAAATTGGACCTATGTAGGTGAAGCTTCCTCTCAAACTCTAAGCCAGTTGTCAGGGTACCAAGAACCACTTCAATTATGCTTTTCTTTGTTGCAAATCCACACCGTTTATTCTTCCCTGCCTCCTCCAAACTCAATTCTATGGATCTTCCTTCCAAACTGTTCCCTGCCTCTCAACCCTCAAGCAGCTGAGTATTTCAATACCTTTCAGAATTAAAGAGAACTCTCAAATTCCCTTTACAATGATGTGCTTTCTTTCAGCTGTCTTTACACAGGTTTTGGTACTCACACTTCTAAGTACTCCTGTTTCACAGCTGAATCACTCTCAGTGATAATCTCCTCAAAATAAAGGTGCTTATTCCTCTCAGTATTTGGACAAATCTGCTAGTTTTCAGCATAGATGAAATCACAGATTACAATTCCAGAGAAACGACTAGGTCGCCTTCTGCTCTACAGACCCTAAGATGACTTATTTTCATTTGCCAACTGCCTCAAGTTAATCACAGACAACATCTACTAATTTCACAGAACAACATTTAAACTGGTATTTACAGATGTCTAGGTGGAAACATGTTAATCTTACTGTGGTCATTCAGATCTAGCACGTGCTGAACAACTTCACAGTGAAGGTATTACCGAATCCGACCTCAGCTCATCGGTACCAGTGAACTTTCTGGAGCAACACTTATCTTCAGTGAACATGTAACACAGTAACTTTAGCTTTGCTATAAAAAGTCAGATTTCTTCAGTGACAAAGGCTAGTGGTGCAAGCCAGGAATAAAAGATCAGCAAGCACTAATTTATCACTCTCTGCTTCAGTATCTGTGTCCCTATCAACCAGCACGTTATAAAGATTATTTGCGTAGATAATCTGGGTCATTTGTTTGAAGACAAAATGCTTGCAGATTTCTGATGGAAAAAGACTGATGAGCTAAGAGTATTGCAGGAAGTGATACATTTCCCAGGAATAACCCTTCTTTCATCTGTGTGCTGGGAACAGTGGTCACGAATTCTCTACTGTGCTCTTCCAGAGTTTACATCTATTGACAAGAAGTGACAGAATCAGCCATTTCTTATCTTCAATAACCAGAATAGAATAAAAACAGAGAAGTAAAAGGCTAGAACTTGAAACTAGTAAGTATGTTCCACAATTTCACATGTATGAAGTAAAAGCAAGAATTAGGCCAACTAAGAGAATGACTAGAAATGGGAACAAGATGTTCTTCAATTGGACTGCATAAGACAATTCCACCCACAGCTGAGGTACCCTCTGTTCAGTGCATCTACAAGTTGATAAAGTCTGTTCCTGGTATTGACAATCAAGACTGAACAGATATTCTGTCATTCATTGTGCTAGGAATTTGGAATTTCACTCTTCCACCCTTCCTTCCAATAGCCAAAGAGGCCAAGAACATGAACCAAAAGCAAGCTGCAGTCATACTGGGCATGCTATTTGGCCACAAGAATCTATTATCCTCTAGCCTGATGCATATCAGTACATCATATACATCAGTATATAAGATACTGATGTGGTCCTCTGCTGATAAATTAAGGCGATTCTGAGTTTTGGTCCATGAACCCCAAGTGGCAATGCTTCTGAATCATGGCCTGATTGTTTCCTTTCTCTAACCTATCAGACCTACTACTAAGTGCACCGACCGGAACAACGGAGTACCTAGCTTTTGTTGGAAAAACTAACACTAAAAATAGCAATAGAAGATTGTTTAAAAAACAATTCCTGATGCTGAAAGTTTTCATTAAAGCTGCTTCCTTGTTCATTTCCCATTGAGGAAGATTTTTGCAGTCCACTACTTTTTAATCAAGTAGTTTTACCATACTTTTTCCTTCAGTTAAAGCTACTCTGGGCCTAGACACTTGTTTTGTGGTTAAGAAAGATAAAACATTTACTCCAGCAAAATTTCTTACTCTCTTTCTCCTAGACTACAGAAAATAAAGAGGAAAAGAGTAGCAAACTGTAGATCCAAGTTTTAAAAACATGTTTGTTGAGAGTTCGGCAGAAGTTTGATTCCTGAGGTGATATTGCATAGAGCGGGGAGGGAAGTAGACTAGGACGATGACAGCAGTCTGCCTCTCGATTAACAAACAGATCAAATCTTTTATCTTCCAGAAATGCAAGTTAAGTAACTCAATCTTTGAAGATAAAGTTGTTGAGTCAAAAAGGCACAGTGTCGAAAGAGAAGACCTCTTAAAAAGAGATTTCTCAGTCAGCAACCTGGTGACTGGTACCTTCCATCTTGAAGTACTACAAAAATTACATTTTTTTTCTCATTCCGTAATGCCTTCAATATGTACAGATGTGGACGACTTCTGTTCTTCAGTGATAAATATCTATTATAACTGCCGAGTTCTCTCTTCCATGCTCTTTATGTACTGCCACTTTTTAAACTTCCACACAACTGGTGGAGAATCCTTCCTTTATTGGCAGCTTCTTATTCTCAGTAATATTCCTAAGTTTGATGGAGCACTAGATTTCCAAGAAAGAGAAAAATAAAATTATGTTCCTTACCTGAATTTTGTCTTCTCTGAACAGGGATCTGCTGCTTTGTCAGGACCCACCCTGTGTTGGTTGCATTCAGCAACTCTTTTTGTATTCTGGCTTCATGGGGTTGGTCAATGTCTTTCTCATCAGAGGTTTTCTGGTTGGAGAGAGAAAGAATTGCAAATGTACTCTGCCTAGTACTCTGCACATTTTTTTCTTGTGCCTCTATTCCAGTAGGGTGACTCATAGTTTAAATCTGTTTATTTATCCTTGCAATTTTACAGCTTTGCACCTCTGACAGTAGGGCCTGGAGAGACGTCTGTGGTTCCACCTACTCACCAGCTGAGAAGGCTACCGCACAGGCTTCCCAGCCTTGGTGGAGATGGGGAAAACCAGCAGTTTTCCAAGTTTGATGGAGCAGGGGATTTCCATTCAGAGAAGACAAAACTAATGAAGAAAATGGATTTTTCAACTATGGTTGTTTTAATCTGTCCGTATCAGTTTCATTATTGTGTAGGGGTTTTTTTCTGTCTTGCCTCAGAGTCCCTAGAAAAATTCTTCCCATCTGAGGGGTTTTCTATAGCTTTCAGCACTGTTAATATCTACTATTCGGAGAGCTTCAGAGATGTGTAATGAATTCTGGGATTAACAGAAAAGGTTGTATGTTAAAGAAGATTATTTATATGGCCGACTAGTTTCAAGACTGTAACTCAGCTGCTTAAGAGGATCTGAATGTTCTTGCTGTCAGAGAAAGGAAAAGTAAAAAGTATTTTTATTTGAAAGACCACCATGCTTGTCCACTCTAGAAATAAGCCTTTGAGGAAAACAACAACAACAATCAAAATCAGTATTTGAGAGACTGGCAAGGGTCGAAGGAACTAAATCTGCTGTACCAAGCCTGAAAAGTAAAAGCAGAACGTACAGATATGCTACCTTTTTACAATATTCACTACTTCCTGGAAAAGAGTTCTTTCATCAGTAGCGTAACTGACTTCTAGTCCTGTAACTCCAGATCTTGTGAGCAAGGGGGCTTGGTCTCTGCTCCCTAGAAAATAAAGTAAAAAAAAATCATTACAATTTAGAAGGAATTACATGACTTCAGTCAACAATACTGCTTTAAAATAAAACATACAACTGAAAAGAAGTATGGAACACAACCTATTTTTATCCTTAACACTATTATCACAATTAATTCCATTGACTTATTTTGTTCCACTTGGGTGGAAAAGTTTGTTCTTTTCACTTTGTAAAATTCTAACAGAGTGGTAATCTTGTACAAATTCTCAGATATAAATAGATTTGATTCAAGAGAAATTTCACCATATTATATGCACAAGAGTCTGGCTATTAGAAGATAGCCAGAAGATATTATTTTTGAATAAGAAATATTAAAGGACTATATGACAGCTCACGTAGTGTTTTCATGCAAAATATGTATTAATTGCTAGCTTAGAGTAGTGCTTTGCAAAACGCTTTGAAGAATGAAAATGCTACATAATATAGTACAGTTCTTTTTTCAGTACACTTCTTAAAAAAACACCACTAAGTTACTAATGGAAATGGAAAAACACGAGCAACTGCTCACTTAGTGCACATAAAGAATGTCTAGATTGATAATGTGTGAATAATAGCTAAATTCGTATGCATGCAGAAACTCAGCATTTGCCTTCTGTTTAAAAAAACCTCCTTAAATGAGTAATAGGCAACACATACTCTGTCTTTTCATTTTCTCTGTACAATAGATAGCAATATCTCTGATCAAGGCAACAATCCGGAGATTTTAAAAGGCATTCTACTTTGAAACATTCTTAAAATATTGAGAATTAAAAGAAGTGTGCTTTCAGAAATAAATGTTAAGATGAGTACTGTAACTTACAAAGCAATAATAATACAAAAAGGGAAAAAAAAGATGCATCTCAATGTCAAGTCATTCCACAGGGAAGTCAAAAAGTTCTAACCAAGAAAATATTGACAGCACACATCAATTAAAGCAAGGAATGTCACAATAACATTTAAACATTATTTTATTTCACGAACAAAAACAGATCAGAACCTCTGTTTTTTCAAAATACTATTGGACATCTTTACAGAGAGCTTTTTCTTAATTTATCAGTGGCACACACCCAGGGAGCCATAGTGGCTACACTGTGGAAAATCTCACTTAGTAAGGCAGCGGAGATAATTTTTTTGAAGATAGTAACGAGCATGTAACACCAGAATAAACTTCACTGAGAATAATAAGAACTTAGCTTAACATGATATAATATCTACAATACTTTGAAAAATAAACTGGTAAAAGAAGGAGCTGTGGCCTTAATGCTAAATTTATTTTTGGTAGGTTTTTGTCCACACTTCGATTTTAGACAGTATTTTGTGGTTTAATACACATGCACAACGCCAAAGAAACCCCAGAAGAAAGAGGATTTTTCGTTTATTTGTTTGTTTTTGTTTATTTACTAGCCTAAACCAGTGGTACTCAACCTTTAACAGCTGGAGAGCCACTTCTTTATTAAATGGAGTTGTAGAGCATCATAAAAAATAAAGTATCAACAGTGTGATTTTTATTTTTTTTTTCCATCATGACACTTCAATGTGTGATGCTGCTGCCTCAACATCATCACATATTGATACATCACGACATGACACATCAGCATCCTCTCTCCCAGCAGCATTCTGTCTTTGAGCCCTTCTGGCTGCTAGGAAGGAGTGGGGTGGAGGGGTGGAAGGGGCAAAAGGGCAAGTTTTTCCCCATTCTGCCCCATGGCTGCTGGGTGGGAGGTGATCTCTACTCTTACCTGTGGGGGGATCCCAGCAGCTCCTTTTCTTTCCCCCTATGGGAGGGGGAACTTCAGCGACTCCCACACTGCTGGTCCATTTGCTCAGTGCTCCCCGCGCTGCCTGATAGAGTGGAGCGCCGATCAGACGCCTACATTGCGAGAGCCGCCTGTAGGGCCATGAAGAGCCACATCCGGCTCTAGAGCCACAGGTTGAGTATCACTGGTCTAAACAAAGCCAAAAAGGTACAATAGAATAAGGGCCCCTGTTTAGATCCTGAAAGGATCAGATAAAACCACAAAAATAACCCTTAAGTAAAATATAAAACACACTGTCTTGCTTTTAACATTTTCTACTTGTAGCTATCCAGCAACTTGAGTAGGAAACTAAAGGCAGGTTTTCCTCTTTATACTTTTAGAACACTGCAGGAGCCTGTCCACAAGTATGTGAACATAGATACTTGGCGTATGAGTATGTTATTTGTGGTTTACAGCCCATGCAATAGTTCTTTGGAAGATATAAGCAGGAAAACCCTCTCTCTGTTTAATATGGCCGTTCATCTAACAGTCAACAAGACAAAATTAAATGAGCTAAATAGTAATATAGAAACTCGATTATATTTTGCTTGCTACTGTTTGATTACTATGAAATAAGCGTTTTTGTAAAATATGTTAAGAAAAAAGAAATAGGAACCTTGGCTTGTGAGCGTCCTGTCTCCATCAATCACTATAGCACCAGTGATTTCTTTTTTATCAGTATTTGGCAGCGCTGTGTCTGATGAGACGCAATAGAATAAAGCACAGATTGGATCAAACTCTGGATCTGGTTCCAAATCTCGTCTGGTTCGAGCATGTAGCTCCATACTGATGAGGGTCAGGTGTTGAACCTACCAACAAATAAATACAATAAGTCAGCACGTTTTGGAGCTTTCTTCAAAAAATTTAAGATGAGATTATTAGTTCAAATGAACTCATTGCAGACATTCATATGGTCGTATTATATTGTAACTAAGAGCTCACACCTGAAAATTAATAGAAGTGATTAAACATGCATCTCTGGGTCTCACTGTTTTGCAAAAAGCATTATCTTACAAAAAAAGATTAATCGCTTAATATATTTTTATACTTAATTTTTAAAATTCAATATTTGTTTCTATCTTCTTCTACCAAAAGAAGAAAAACAAACAAACAGAAATGCTGAACTTCAACAATTGTAAATTCCTGTAATGTTTCAAACAGCTTTGCATATTGAGCTGAATTAAGCTTCTGGACTGATCAAGAACAAAGAATCACTGTTGGCCTTTATTCTCCTCTCCCTCCCTCACCCAAGATGTGCAAACAAGCACAAAGACTAAGTCACTTACAGGAAGAGATGGAGAATACCTAACTTTCCCTTCGCTTGCATTATTGAACTTCCACATCATGCTGATACAGCTTTTTGCAGAATGGTTTGCATTAAGAAATGCTAATCCCTATATATTGTACAGCTTGGACTCTACAATAACTACTGCAGTATTCGATACTGTTTCACTGCTACACTGTTGCTCTGTTGTCTTGCACTGTACAGTTGATAATGCAGACTAATGGGCAAACTGGAAGGATTACAAGGGAAAAGTTACAAATATTTCTGAGTATGTAAGCTGCCCTGGGGGCAGCCTGATGTCTTCTAGATTTGCATCCTAAATCACTACCGAGATCACTGAAATAAAATTTTACTATCAAGCTCCATATCTCCATTTCCTGCAAAATCATCAGTTTCTTGTGGCTTCTCTTATGTCATTTACTCAGTGCACAAAACTGCTATCTCCTCATCTCATCTGTAAACTGGTCAACAGCTCGTTCCAAGGCACGGATGTGGTGACTGTCTGGGAGCACACACGTGCTGGCTGGCCAGTCAGCAGCCAAACACAGCAGTACTGTATTCACATTGCATCCCTTTCTCCAGCACCAATTTTGATCTCTCTTCACAGACCAACCACTGATCTACACAAAATATGTAGAGGTGGCTCTGAGACGTACACAATTCTGTTAAACGTAGTAGAAACTGGCGAAACAGGTGTAGAGGTATCAGGAGGGCCTGACTGATGATGCCAGATACCTTGTTTCTTAAGGAAACGATCCATGAAAGTTATGGTCAACTAGTTTTTCCAGTAATATTTTTATATACAAAACTTACTATTTCTTCCTTCTGATTTTCCCTTATTTTTATTTTTTTAAAGAAAGGTTTACCACCTTTTCAACAAAAATACTGTGAAATTTAGTTCAATGCTATTAAATAAAGGCACTTGAGGATCAAGCTGAAACTAGTAAATCAACTACTTAAAGCTGCAGACATCAGACACTGATTCATTTTATGTCAGGCAGGGAACAAGGAGGAAAAGATTTTTAAATTTTGCTGTTATAAAACTGGTCTGATAAACTATTATTTTATAAAATAACATGTAACAGTAAGTTACCTCATGTAAAGATTTTGCTTCCTGCAGGTTTTCCACACTGACTTTAAAACCATAAGTGTTATTTAAAGATGGTCCTTCAATCTGAGAAGTCTCTCTCTTTGGAGCACCGAGGGCAGCAAATTGATTCTTATTGAGGAAGAAAAAAAAAAAAAAGGCAAAAAAAAAAGCACAGTATAATATTGAAAAAACTACAAGTTGCTAAATTCATATGCAATATTAAACACAAATTTATCAATGAAAATGCAAATGCTGCACTAGAATTATGAAAAAAAAAGCTTTCACTACTTCCTCATGCCATTTTTCAACAGGGAAACAACAGTTCTTTCTTTTAGGAATATTTTTAATGAAACCTCATAGTAAAGCAAAAGGCAGTTTGAAATACTTAAAAAAAACCCCAAAAGCCCCACATATATTGGCTTTCTTAGAAGCCTGAGAATGGGAGAACCAGCAAATCTCTATTCTCTGTTCAGCAACAATTCATCAAAAACCTCTGTTTCAGTCACCACTTTTTAAGGCGCTGCATTAAGGGTACACTTAAGAACCCACTTGAACTGAGTGAATACCAGTATGTTGATAACAAAAGGAAAGACTACTGGGCCATTTTGGTAACGCACCTAGCCCACTGTTCTGTTTCCATCATGGGGAGCCTGTTTCGGAAAACACGTAAGCCTGATCATTTTATGTGATCCATTCCCTTTCTACTCTGTCAACACAGCAGTGCCATTCACCGCCTACGTTGTATCCAGAAAAGGCTTAGAACGTTGTCTGGAAACTAATACACAGATACATAAATATACATGTCTGCGTGTGTATATATATACTAAAAAAAGGAAATCACAATAGAACTTAAAAAGGATGTTGTAACTAAAAGAGCAAAACAACATCCTTACACAGTGTCTCTCTAATGTTCAATTAGTGTCTCACTATCCTAAAACATAGAACATACTCTCAATAGCCAACCTCACAAATTAAAATGATTTCTTCTTCCTAACTTTGAGCGTACGCTGATTCTACAGCAATTGCACCCTACCATTTTAAAGGTGTTTTCAAGATCTTAACAGCAAAAGAAAATGGAAATGTGCTGTAATAAAAATACATCTGTACATAAAATCTTAATTTACCTTCATTTGTGTGGTTAGAAGTACTCTTCGAAGACCATCAGTATTATTTCCCCTCTTGTGGCTCAGTTTCTGGGCTTTTGGTTCTGTAAAGATGTATGAGTGCAAAACTGCTTAGCCTCAATAATATTGTCTAGATATTAAACAACATGCTAGAAACAACCAGAGGCATTTGGTTAACATTATTAAAAAATATTATATGTATAAACAAATCCAACTTTATTCTCTACCCAATCCAAAGCACAACTCTTACAATTTGGTATTTATGGACATTTAGGAATGCACAGTACAAGGCCAGCAAGTTACCAAACCTCACATGTTTATCATCTTGAACATTGCAATGTTATTCACACTCTACATTGAGGTTATGTTTGGAAAAATACAAGCAAAATAACCAACAAGATTTCAAAACCTCCAAAATAAGCTATACTTTTAAATTAATTTTTTAACCAGCACTTCAGAGTTCAGATACTAGAGACAATCAGGAAACAAAAGGGTGTTCTGTTTCTAGACTTTTTTCATAATTCAATAGTTACTTTAGCAATAATGCACAGGTCTTTTCCTTTCCAAAACTAGTTTTAAATGTATTTTTGTGGAGATGTAATTCTTTTCTCATTATGTCAAAAGAAATATAATACCTTACCATAGTCAGAATTTTTTTAGTAAATTTAAAATTTAAAATTAAATGTAAAAAGTAATTTAATCACTTAATGGATCTACCTGTGGATAAAGGAGTAAACCCAAGAACTTCAGGTAATCCATCTTGATTTTTTCTTTGCACAATGGGTGTACTATGCAGGCAAACCGATTCAGAATTTCTAGCATCTTCATTAACTGGAAATGGAGACGTGGCAAGGGATGTCCTCATGTCCTTTTGGGTGGATGGAGAGTTTTGTGCACTTCCAACAGGTACTACATCATTTTCTTCCATAGAAGACAAAATAATATCCTGACTTTTCCACTCTGTGTCTTCTAAATTGGATTGCTTGGGATCTGGAGACGCTACTTGCTGCCAAGGAGGAAGTACTGGAGAATCTGGTGAACTGTAATTGACATAATAATCCTCCTCCTCCTCCTCCTTATCATGTTCTAGTGTTGAAGTAATAAGCGTCTTGCTTTCAGATGGAGTTTTATTAGAGTCTATGTCATTTTTAGTATTTATAAAAGTTCCTATAGTGCTTACAGACTTATCACAGGTTTCCTTGGTTTGTGTTTTTGCAGTTTCTGCCACAGAAGCAGGAGAATTCTTTGTAGGCACAATAAGTCTTTCATCTTCCAGGCTAGATAAATTTAAATCTTTAGCTGCTTTTACTACTTCTATAGATTTCTCTTCAGACAATACTGCAGAGCTGAAATTTTCAGCTGCCTTTGCCAGCTCAGCAGGATGATTCTTAGGCAATTTCTTGAAATGTTCATACTCTTCTTTGGCATGAAGCCATATCTGAACTTGCTGTTGGCTTGGAGCACACTTGCATGGCATTATGACTATTTTTTTGTCTTCACTAGTTTTATGGCTATTACTTTCTCTTTTATTAACAGTAGAGTGACCATAACGAGGAGGAGACCCTGGTCTAGGACTTTCTGTCATTGCAGAAAATGCAGTCTTCCAGAGTCGTAGACCTTCTAATGAGAAGTCTCCCTCAAACTCAAGCAGGTCATTTGGAAGTCTGGTTTCCACTGTGAGAAGTCGTCCTCCAATCTCCCTGCGAAGAAAATAGTCAGAATTATTGTTTTGCTCTAAACTGCATTGCAGGCAATCCTCAAGATGATATAGAAGCAGAGTCCCACTAACGAGTTTTGTCACTACGCAATTCCTGTGGTCAGTATCTTTCTTTTGCAAACCAAGCAGGCACATTCCCACTTACTACAGTAATATCAAGCAATAAAAAAACTAAGTGTCATGAACAGAAGTGGGTATTTGCACGGGAAGCACAGTAATTTTAAACTTCAAAAGTATGTATATCAGATGGGATCTTTCACGTATCTGTGCCACATAACAGCACAAAATTGTTCACCGGAATAAATTAAATTTAATATAATCACAAGCATATGTAAACAAAAAAGCATTTAATGTAGTACCTTGGCTTTTCTGGGGCATCTGAAGGATTGCTGCAAAATGGTTCCTGATAAATTGTTTCTGCAAGATCATGATCCAGCAAAGTTGCCATGATTTCTTCACGACTGGGTGGGGACATGAGAGGCTTAAGAATGTGAGCAGTACGAGGTGTAAAACTTCCATTTTTTGATTGTGAGGGAGAACTCGTTGATCTTGGTGAACTATCTGGAGTTGGAGTTAATGCCTCAGTGTTTCTCGAAACATATAATTCTAAATCCTCGGAATTTGCATCTATAAGTTCACCATCAGGAGAAGACAATACAGATGTAAAAGAGGTATTAGCTGAATCAAGTGGTTGACAGGGTTCAAAAGTGGTTTCTTTTCTAATGTGGCTTTGAATCCAGTCTGAGCTGGTTGGCTGAGGAAGGTTAAGAAACCTCTCTTTATTTACTGTATTTCTATTCAATTTGAATTTTTCATTTAAACAGACCTCAATCTCTTGTGTACAAGAGGCATCGACGGAACTAGATCTAGAAGTTGAAGGATGAACATTTTTCCTCCATTGGCTATGGCAGTGGTTCTCATTGTCATCCAGTGAGGTTTTCTCAAAAAGCTCAGGGCTCAGGGCACCAGACCGTATCCATTTACTTGTGCTTGAAGAATGCTGCTTTTCTTCCTCAGATTTTTGGTCGTTATGACACAGAAAGTCATTTTCTGTTGTTTGTCCAGAACCAAGATCCTGAACTGCATCACTCAAGAATTTCTGGGGCAAATTTTGATCTGCTGGGACAAACTGGCTTGCAGAATAAAAACTGCAAAATCCAGTTTGCCCTATAGTATTAATATCAAAGTTATAATTGTGGTCTGGAGACAAGCTGTCTTCAAGTGAGTAGCAGCTTTCAAAACCAGGGTCTGAAAAAATTACGGGGCTGTCATCAGACACAGAGTGATCAATGCGACTAGTGATCTGCTGGCTTAAAGACTCCATTTTTGAAATTTTTGGTGTTTTTTCTTTAGGTTTTGTATTCCTGGGAGCACGAGATTTTCTTGGCGATGTGACTGACCGTGACCTTTTGACTGCTTTATTCTGTTCCAGAGGGCATGATGTACTCTTGCTCAGCTGTGTTTTAGCTCGTAATGGTTCCTGTGTAAGATTTGCATTCTGAGCCTTCTGTTGTCTCTTCTGGAGCAACTCTTTCAAAACAGCTAGGCCAGACTGCCCTTCACCGAACGCTGATGGGGCCACTATCGTCCTGTTTTTATACTGGGAGATGGGTTTTGGTTGCATGGTTGTTTCTGACAGAGACTTTTGTTTTACTGTTTCAGGTTTAAAATGAGACATACCTAAAACAAACCCTCTCTGGTTTTGATCCCAATTTAACTGTTTCACTGGACTCTTCAAAGACGTTACGAAACAGTTCTTGGGCAACTGAAGTGGCCCAGGGCTTTCCTCAGACAACTTAAGAATAGAAGAACAAGGATCAGAATGCTTGGATGCCTCTGGTAAACAAAAAATCTGCTGTTGATTATTGTCTTTACAATGCAAATAGTTAGTGGCATGCAACTGATCCATCTTTGCTGTGTCCAAAGAGTCACAAGCTTCATTTAATTTCCCAGCTGCTGGTAAATATGTGGTTTGCAAATTTTTTCTCTCTTCTGCTTTTGCAGAAGTCTTCTCTTTAGAGATGCGTGCATTCTGTGTTACCTGAGCTGAGTGACTAGATGGATCAAATATGTTTTGAATAAGAGGAGAATCCTTCATTCTAAATATAGCACTTTGAGTCCTGGGCCTTTGAGAGCTCATTTTTGGTACTTCCCTTCCAGATGCCACAGGAGTAGATGCAAGAGATGAATGAGGGTCTTCTCGTGGAGCAGGTACACACTGTGCATCTACAGGCTTATCAACTTCCATCAGTGAATGAAAACAGCCTGATGAATTACCTTGTGCATCAGCTGCTGAAGGGAGTGGTGCTGATGGTAGATATCCTGTTGAATAGCCTGGAAGAGGAATGTCTTTCCGGTTATGAAGTGACTGTGCGTTGACAGAGTGGTAAGAAATCTCAGGCAGATCTTGATGTTTCAGCACAAACTTTACTTCTGCAGTAGAGCGAGTATTTCCTTTTTCATCTTTAAATACAACACGCTTTCTTGAGGATGCTTTTTCAGCTGTTTTTTGTCTTTGTTTTGCTCTAGGTTTCTTCTTTCCATCATCTGCTGTTATATCAGCCTGATTAATCATCTTCTTTTTCTTGGTAGATACAGTGGGGCTAGCGAACTTCTTTTTACATTTCTTAACCTGAGTTTTTGCTCGACTAGTCTTTCCTACATTAGAATTAACAGTCTTGCTGTTGTACATATTGGGCCCCCTACTAAATAAAGCTTCTCTGTCCAGGTTGGTCAAAATTTCTTCTGCTTTTGGATCAGTGGGAGACCAGCAGCGAGGTGGAGATGTGTTTACTGGGCTTGTGCTTCTCTCAGAAAGAAAACCTAACTTAGACATAACGTCACTATAGTTACAGTCACAGTCTTCAGCTTCAGCATTGTAGGATGGTGAAGGAGGAGAAAGAATTGTATGAGTTCTTTTTCTGAAAGATAAAGTTCTTTTAATATTTCTACTACCTGCTTTTTGTGGCTTTCCAGCTTTTTTCTTGGTTGACTTATGTTTTGCTTTCCTTTTGTGACTTTTCTTTGGTGTTAGTGGATAAATAGGATATTTGGTTGCAGGAGAGTCAGGAACTTTTGGCCAAAAGTCCTTTAAAGGTGCAAGCTTTTTATATAAGTTCATCTTTTCCTCTGTGAGTACTACTCTTTCCTCACTAGAATCTACTTTCCCTAGTTTAACAAGCATATTTTTTCTCCCTCTAAATCTATTGATGATAATATATTTAATAATAACAGGTGGCAATTTTTTAGAAAGTTTTCTACGCTTTCGAGACTTCTGAGACCCATCCAAACTTTCAACACTTTCTATTGGTTGAGGTAGATTAATTTTTGAGTTGTGTGCGACAAAACTTGATTCACTGTCTTCAGTCTCATAGTTTACCTTCCGTTTCGTTCGGAGCGTATATTTATTCCCACATAATCCAAATGACTGCTCAGTTTCAAGAGACCCATCTGCAAAATGGCAGTCAGTATAATTAGCAGTACTTGTAGGCATTTTGTTTTCAAAAGCCTCAAGAGGAACTTGAACTATGTCGCTAGGTAAAGCACTATCCTTATCAGGAATGTTACTACAAGCATTACCTTGTGTATAGCAGCTTTCCTTCACTGACGCAACATCATTTACATTTGCAGGCTCCTGATGATTGATAAAACCATGTCTCTTTTTATTCAGCTTCAGCCTGGACTGTTTGTTGCCTTGCTGTAATTTATACGTCACAGGAGCTAACTTCTGTGGTCGACTGAGACAATTAGAAAGAACAACACTAGGAAAGAACATATAATGTGCTGCTTGTTGACTGAGGCTTGGCTTTTCTGCCTTATGCTCCTGAAATTCTTCATACCTAATTTTAAGCTTATTAAGGCCACCTTCATCAGTGTTATTTTCAAGTGAATGAACCGCAGTTCGACTGCTTCCTGAACAAGACACCAATTCACAATTTTCTGTAACCGTTGCTGGAAAATAACTATTCATACTCGCGCCGCTGGATTTTTCATTTACTTCAGAGGACATTTTCCCTTTGGAGTGGCTCAAATCGGAAAAGTTAAACAAGTTTTTATTCAACATGCTGTCACCAATGTGGCGGCCCACATGCATAAAAGAGACATCCTTTTCAGCCTTTCTGATGCTAGTATACTTCCTACTAGGTATCTGTCTGCTTACTGATGAAATATCATCTTCATAATCAAAAATATTATTTTCACATGAAGGAACCGGGAGAGTATCTTTCTTGTTACTCTCTTTGTGAGAGTTTTCTGCATGGGTACTATTGCTGAATGGAGTTGGGTACTTTGCTGAGTAAGTGCTTTCTTTTGTAAGAGAATGGACTGAAAGTTCAGGTCTTGTTTCTGCGTTTGGTTGTGAGAGGTCTTCTACTAAATCTTCATTGTTCAAAACATGGTTAGAAAGGGCACTTGTGTGTTTACACTGAAAAGTAATTTTAGCAGAAGATGGGGGTTCTAGCGTAGCAGCATCTTTGTGAAAGATTGAGGTCTTTACAGACATTTTGCTTGTTGCAATGACGGAGGAGTGAGTTCGAGAACTTTCATTATTCAAAGGATTGTCTGAAATGGAAGACAAGCAATTTTACTCTAGTTTTCCTGTAAAAAAAAACCACACCTAAGGCATTAACCATTTTAACGACATTTTCCTGAAAGCCCTCCCATCCAAAGAAGAAACAAAACTCTTCTGAATCACACTGCATTTACAATCATGACAACTACAGACCCTGAGTACATGAGCTGTTTTATCAAAAATCACGTCGCTAGTATGTTTGTGTTTCAGCTGTTCTGTCAGTTACTCCTAAATGGTAGGTTTGCATGCACAACTGCCAAAGATTTCGTGCTAGTTTTCTGTAAGAAGGCTTCTAAAGTCCCTTTCAGATAACTACATACAAAGAGATTGATTTCTAGAAAAGCTTGTATCCTGATTTGTCCCTGAGAAGTATGCATACTCATCGGCTCTGAAAAACAAAGAACTTATTTAGATGACTTTCCCCATATGGAAAAGTCACTGCACAGAAAGCTGAAGTACTATCTTATGACGTTGCAAGGGCTTTGTATTAACTGTCCTGCGTGCTAAGTATAGGTAGTTTGCTGCACTTTTATAGAGCAGAGCAATCCACCATCCATTCAGGTGTTTATGCAAGGAGATTGCAGCATTTAGATCACGAATGCACATCCACGCATTAACATTCCCACATGGATATGTGACCAGCATGTGCTGCTTCAACTGTCCTGTGCAGACTCATCCTATGATAGCTGCGAGGACTTCTCTCTCCTTCGCTGATAACTTTCACCACGTTTACTGCAGGATAAGTGTGGTCAGGCAGGTGGTAAGTAACAAATTAACAACGGGTTTGCGACAACTTGTGTGCTTGCTCATAACCACAATGAACACCAAGTACTTGGAAGGAGTTTATTCCTCTGCAAAGAGGCAGTTACCACAGCGCTCCTGGCACACAGCAATTTGTTCCTCTGTCCACATCTTTAGCTGAAACGTTGAAGGGGGATAGGTGTTATGAAACACGCTGTATGACCTGGAAGCACGCACTGCGCACTGTTGTACCAGACAGGGGATCCTTTGGGCCTTAAGTGTAAGTCTCAAACAATTTGAGGACTATCTTAGTTTCATGCTGTCTTCAGCTTAGCAATTTATTTGTTGCAGGGTAGAAAAATAAAAGGAAGACCCAGTCTGTTTCTAATAACCTTTTCTAACGCATACACAAAGTCCTTGAGCTGTGAAACACAGCTGGGAGATGCTGCATATGATTCTTTGAGGGTAGGAGTCCACACAAGGAATGAGGATGATTAACTGAAAACCAGGAAAATGGGAGTTTAGTGAAGCGTCCATGATTCAGATATAAAAATTGCAAAAACACTTGCCAGTCAGTCAGATGTTATGGACACAGATTCATGTGTGGATAAGTATTTTCTAATTTAGAGGAAATGGACTGAGATCTGTTTTGAATTTATTTTCTCTCCTATTATAAGAAGTTGATGTAAAAGTTCACAGTAATAAACTCATTCTAAGCTGAAATTCTTCCTCTGCATGTGATATTTCATATAATATTCTAAAATTTAAACAATGATTTTCTAAGATACAGTCTCATTAGGCAGAAGCATCCCTTTTTACATTAAACTAAAAATTACTGCAAATAAGGGAATTACAGTTGTATACTTTGCAAAACCAAATCATATTAGTAGTACCTCAAACCACGTATTACCCTATCATTATTCCTATAAAAGCAAAGGAAAAAGCAAACAGTCTTAAACAGTGAACACAAAAGAATAGCTGTGGTTGTCAATGCAATAAGATAATACATCTCACTTTCTCTAACAAAGAATTGCTAATAGATATATTAAGATGTATGTATTTTATATACTAACATATGATGTTTCTTATTTTTGCCAAAAAGCTTAAAGAGACATGAACTAATACAGAAATTTTATGAAAGATTACATTCCTGCGCCGAAAAGCAAATGCAATAATAGGAAATTAGGTACATGCATGAGCACAAACAAGATTTTACATTAACCAGTTTGTACCACAGATTTAGGAAAGAAGCTTCTGTACAAAGTGACATTAACCACAAATTTCAAGTTTTAAAGGCAATGAAGTATGACTAATACAACATTTCTAAACAAAGAAGAACAATTACTGCTGATTAGACCAAGAAGAAAAGTGAACCTAATACTGAGAAAACCATGGATACAGATAAATATTTCCCCCCACAAGATCCATACGTTTTACATTGTTCTGCTCAACAGAATTTTATAAATGTGAAAATATGTAGATTGTCTAATGAAACAGATAATATTTATATATTTGCCTAATCTCAAAGCATGCATTCTATTAACTAAGGTTATTTGATCAAAGACAGCAGGTTATAAAGAGATGGCAAGAGATTATCTCTATAGATTAATTTAATTTTTTGTAATTTTGAAAGTCAGTTTCCTCTGCATCAGCTTTGCCACAGCATAGTTTTAACTCATGCAATCCCAAGATGTGACCATGCAATCTGCTTAATCAAACAAAGGCTCGCTATATTTTAGCACGTGTGGCAAATACTTGCAAAACAAAGAACCATCTACATTTACACAATAATATATTTGCTATTTACAATGAAATCCTAGCACGATATATGATCCTACAGAATCCTTAATTTTAACATCATGTTTGCATACCAAATAATAACAGAAAAATATCCCTTGCAATAAGGTAATTATCTTTTCCATAAAACTAATTAAACAATGCCCTTTTTTTGACCATTAATACAATAGGAAAAGCAGATTCTGGTAATTTACAGAGGGTGTTCAGATTAAAATATTGTTGGCTTATAAAGAAGATGTTAATGGCCTGCTTTTGCAATCTGTTGAGAGCATTTACTTCCAATTGAAATGAGAATGGAAGATGCCTAGCACTTTTGAGAAAAACTCATCTGAAAACGAACTATGATCCAGGTAATAATTCAACTTCTAAAGCTGTTTTTTCTATTTACTTACCGCCATTTTCATCTGCAGTCCCATCTAACTGAGGTATAGAGAGATTAGTTAGGAGCATATTGTTACCACTCCACTCCATTTCTTCCTCTGAAGATGAATCTTCTTCTGTTGAACTTCGATGCATATTTTTGCCAGCTGACCTAGAGAAAATGAAGGAACTAATTAATGCACAATACTTCTCTTAGAAAATACCAATAGCCACAGGGAACCTCAAAATCAAGCAGGTGTGGTACTATAAGGTTGTGTAATTTGGGGGAGCAAAGGGGAATAAACAAAAAAATGGTTACATTTCTCACAGAGAAAATATTATTCAATGTTACTACTTTAAGAGGCAACAGTGGCAGCTAACCACGTAAAAACTACAGACTAAACCAGCAGGATTCATTAGTTTAAAAATGCAGAGAAGGCATTTAGATGCTTAATTTTATTTCGGTTTTACTGAAATTTAATTTCATTGCTTGAAAGCACTTGAAATTTGAAGACTGAACCAATTATGCAAAATTATTTCAGTTTAGCTCTTAGCAAACAGATTTTTATTATTTTTTTTTAAAGGAATCCATACTGTATTATAACAATTCTCTCTCTTGGCAGGCTGAACTAAAGCAGAACCATCAAAGCAATGTTTGTTTCCGTCCCTCCTTGAACACACCAAAGTTGCTGTTGCTAATACTTAAGCTGTTTTTACTAAGTTAACTGTTCTACATTGGCATTTTTAGAGTCATCTGCTGGGGGAAAAAAAAAGCAAATCTACAAAGAAAAGCTTCTATAATTTTTTCATGTTTTTAAGGTGGCATGGCTTTATGTGGGGAAAAAAGAAAAAAATCTATAGAAAACCCCAAAACTCAAACACTCTGATATATTACAACTCTAGAAGCATGTCAGGAATTTGATTTCTTCTTCTTTAAAAAAAAAAGTGTGAGATGAAAATAATTCTTCCTAGAAATAAGCTATTCTGTGGCTATAAGAGAGAAATCCAGGTAAATATCAAGGAACTGAGGTTTGGGGTGGGTTTTTTGTTTTGTTTGCTTGTTTTTTGTTTTTAAGATAATAATAATCTATCCTAGTAGCTTGATATATTAGAACATTATTGTGTAGTACCTTAAAAGGTATAAATACAAAGCTTTGAAGTTACAGGAAGGAAAATCCACAGTAACCTAAATACAGTCTACTTTTGAAGAACTCTTATCTGTGGAGTTCGACCAGAGCATGAATTATATGTATCATTAACACCATAGACATCTGAATGTGCTCAGTGCTAAGTCAACTTAGATCAAGCCATTTTATTAGTTCAGGAACAACAGGCTCAAACATGGCTATGTAATTTCCAGACTAACTCAAGTCCAGACGCAACATAACTTGCAATAGAGACCTAACTAACAAGAACAGCTTGGTACACAGTGGCCACGACCTTAGTGAGATAAGTTCTCTCTCTTCTGTGTTCTCAAAACATGGAAAAGTACAGTGGAAAGACATTCAGTTCTATATGCAAATGAGTATCAAGCTAGGGAGAGCAATAAATACTCTGGAGAGTAGAGCTGCTATTCCGAAGGATCTCAATAGGCTGCAGAATGAGCTGACGGGAACCTCATGGACTTCAAAAAAGACAAATCCAAATGCCCCACAAATGGGATGAAATAACTCCATGCACTGCTACAGGCAGGGAGAGAGCTGGCTAGGAAGTGGCTTTGCAGAAAGGGATGAAAAATCATCCACCAAAAGGTAGACAACTAGTTGAACCTGAGAGCGTGCAGGTTCAACTTGTAGCAAAGAAAGCCAGTTGCATCTTGAGCTGCGACTGCCACACTGCAGCCAATTTCAGTAGTTGTGAGGCTCCATCTGGAATATCATAATTGGTTTTGGGCATCCCACTGCAAGACAGACTCACAAAATGGAGCAAATCCAGCTGAGGAGCACCAGGGTGACCAGAGGCTGGAGCACGTTATGTATAAGTAGAGGCTAAGGGAACAAGATTTACTCAGCCTTGAGGAAAAAACTCAGAGGAGATCTTGTTGCACTTGTCAAGCATCCAATGAGTGGGTATAAAGAAGATGAAACCAGATTCAGAGAGGTGAGGTGAATGAAAAGGGCAACGGGCACAGGGCTGCCTCAGGGAACGTTATGTCCAAGGAAAACATTCTTCATTCAGAGGGTGTTCAAACACAGGAACACGTTGCCAGTATAGGCTATGCAATCAGTGTCTTTGGAGATACTCAAATCTTGACCAGACAAGGCCCTGAGCAACTGACCTATCCAAAGCTGCGTTGACCAGGGCACTGGCCTACATAGCATTTAGATGTTTCTTCCAACCTGAATCACGCTATAATCCTGTGCATGAAGCAAATCTCTGTCAACTTTAGTAAACCCAGTCAGGCTGGAGACAACTTCTGCCGATAGTAACTTGGATCCCTCCACATTCAAACCCATCAGTTTAGATTCCAGGAAAATTTGTGTTACATAGCATGATACCACCATACATGAACCAGTCCAGGTCCTGATGGGCTTTTTGCTCCAGTTCAGCACAGATCAAACCCAAGTCATTTAATTCAGTCAATAGGGTGTTGCTACTCCTCATTATTTCAATACATTTTTTGAGATAATGGAAGACTGATGAATACCTAATAACAGAAAAGTGATAGTATGAATATGGTAGGAGCGTTAGAAAGCAGTACAAATAGAATGAGCCTGAGCAGAATAAAGTTGGATCCATTGTCAGACTCCAACTGGCTCTTTATGCGTACGCAGAATCACGCAGGAGGCAGATATATCCATGCTCTCTTCTGCAGCCAGTCCAAATTCTGCAGAGATCACACTGAAACAAAGCTTGTAATTCCCTCTGAACATGAGCTGTGGAAAGAACCTGATATGTACATTCTCCCTAGCACTTTCTGTCTGGGATTAAGATGTAGGCATATATGAGCAAGTTATTCATGAGCCAGCTCATCAAGTCTGATGAGTTTTTAAACAGGATTCTTTACTGCATAAAAGCAGTTAATTGCTTCAGGATCCTACCTGATTCCAGAAGTTATACAGAGCTGTGCCTGAGCTAATAAATTCTGTGAGATATAGGCTGGTCTTACACAGAAACTACCACTAAATCAAAGATAAACGTTAAGTGTTTTAGCTGGAAATTCCAAATTTTCAGACTACTGAGAGGGGAAAAAACCCAAACAAAATCAAAGGTCAGATTGCTAGCTTTAGAGATGCTTTATGTCTAGAACTATGAGATTCATGATCTAACTTCTGATTCTGTTACAACTTTTCTGTATGTCTTCAGGAAAGAGAAGAATAAATATTTCTATGCCTCTCCTGCTCTTTGAATCATAGTATAATTATGATTTCTGATGTAAAAAACCCCAAAATATCAAAACATTATGTCTGTAAAGTTTCTCATCTTTCCAATAGAATTATAAATACCAGAATGTCTGCCCAAAGCAGGGGTGAAGAGAAACTGGATACAGCTCATTTCAACGCCTGTCAGTGAAGACTGTACAAAAGGTCATTACAACCTGAGCAGGTGTTCGAAGAATCTTGGCCTTAAAACATTCAAGCTGCTGACCTTTAGCAGTCCAGCAGAGTGAGCAACATTCATGTTTTGATTTAAGCTTTGAGCATGGAAACAAACGGGTGTTTTTCTCAGGCTTCTGGGTCAGTCTTCACAAGAACACTTCTTAAATACCCACTTCAGTAAAAGTTACAGGCACATGACATGTACAAGATACACCTTAACATTTGTACCACATCCAAGGTGCGACTTTGAAAGGAGCTTACAACTAAAGTTTTTTTGTGTTCAGCTCTAGAGTTCCCAACACAAGAAGGACATGGAGCTACTGGAACGAGTCCAGAGGAGGGCCACAAAGATGATGCGAGGCCTGGAGCACCTCTGCTATGAAGACAGGCTGAGAGACTTCGGGCTGTTCAGCCTGGAGAAGAGTAGGCTCCAGGGTGATCTTATAGCAGCTTTCCAGTACTTAAAGGGGACCTACAGGAAAGCTGGAGAGGGACTTTTTACAAGGGCGTGTAGTGATAGGACAAGGGGCAACAGATTTAAAGTGAAGGAGGGGAGACTTAGATTAGATATAAGGAAGAAATTTTTTACATTGAGGGTGGTGAGGCAGTGGAACAGGTTGCCCAGAGAAGTTGTGGCTGCCCCATCCCTGGAAGTGTTCAAGGCCAGGTTGGATGGGGCTTTGGGCAACCTGGTGTAGTGGAGGATTTCTCTGCCCATGGCAGGGGGTTGGAACTAGATGATCTTTGAGGTCCTTTCCAACCCTAACCATTCTATGATTCTATGATTTGTAGGACAAAAAACCTACTCAATATTTCCGCAAACAGCAAACTAGAAGCTTAGGTCTAGCCAAATCTAAACATCTAATCTTTATTTCCATATAAAGCTGCATTCACTGCATTATCTGAACAACTGCATTCTATTTCAAGATCTGTGTAGATTCTTCCAGTGCTGTAAACAGAGACCTCTCTACAGCTCACTGGGCTCACAGCACACTTGAAAAGGGGGTGGGAGGGAGGAAGGATCTGGCAGAAAAGAACGTATTAAGAAAAGAAAATCACATATATACCTTCTTTTTGGCCCAGGCTCTTCAATGTTACTGTCCCACCTTTGAGACATTAACAAGCTAAGCTCCATTTCTTCTTTCTCGCACTGTGGTTCATTTTCTTCATCATCACTGTTCTGAGAATTTCGACAGCTTCCAAGAGAACGATGGTGAGAGAGTGTTTTGTGATGTCCCATCTGATATCCATCATTCTCCAATCCAGCCAACAGATCAATCATGGCCTCATCAGCACTACTGTCCACTGCAGAAAAAGCCCATACAAGTAGAATCTGTATTTTGTTCTACTTGTAAATGACAAGTTATAGTCTACCAGTAAAAAACCAAAACCAAATAAACAAAACAAAATCTCTCATTTTAAAGTCTACTAGTTTGTTACTGTCTAAAGCATGGCAGGCTACAGATAGAAAGCTCTTTTCATATCTTGTTTTTTTTAAGTTTTATGATTTGTTATCTTTTCTAGCTCTTTATCTAGAATCTTCCTCCCCACCCTCCTATTACCTACTCACATTCAGTAAAGCCTCACTCTCCTCTTTTATTTCAGCATGCGTGCCAGCTTCTGAAGCATCACTGCCTTCTCTTGGCCTCATCATTTCAATGGCTGCATTAACTTCGTTGGGCACTTCTCTCCGTATCGCTTGGAATACTTGCAATCACTGCACCTCCGGAAAGGCGATGTTCATTTTGACCAATTAGAATCATAGAATCATAGAATCGTTAGGGCTGGAAGGGACCTTCAAAGGTCATCTAGTCCAACCCCCCTGCAAGGAACAGGGATATCTCCAACTAGATCAGGTTGGAGTTCCTCTTTAGTTCCTCTTTCCTTCTGTCTTTTACTATAATGCTTAATTTCATCTCCCTTTTCTTTTCACTATAACCTAATCCTTTCCTAGGTTCCTTTAAACACTGAAAGTTTACCTGATTTCACTCCCTTAAATTTTTTATAATTTTCCTTTATTTGACCCAAGCTTAGGCTAACTCATGCACTTGCCTTCTCATTCTTTATTTTTATTTTTTTAAACATCCTTCCAAGTCACATTTTTTTCTCACTCTCCTCCTGCTTACCTTTCATCTGACCTCATATTCAATTTATGATCTCCTGTCTACCAGGTATCTTTGTTACTTCTCCCTCCTTCTCCTCTGGCTGAAGAACTACAGTCTCTACTTTCCTTTCTCAGGAAATACCGTAAGATTTACAACAATCCTGAGAATCATATAAAATAGGTCTCAACATCAGTGAGGAAGGCATTTTCCATATTTTAAAAAGGCTTTCACAAGACACCATGCAAACATTTAGAATGGAAACCATCCCCTTTGCCAGAGTTCTGAATTAACCCACTTTCAATTGTACTTTCTGTTTTTGGCTCCTTGGCCCTTTGTAATGTCCATCATTAAACTCCAACCTTTACTTCCCATTAACATAAACATTGTTGTGTACTTCACAGCAGCAGCAACAGAAGTAGCATGCTTCAACAGCCCCTGTGACTCTACGACTCTACAAAGGCACAGTAAAGACTAGTCCATGCTATGAAAGAGCATAAGAGATGATGCAGCATGTTACTCATGGTCACACAAGACACCAACAATTAGTAGCCCCATGATTTAAAAAAAAAAAAAGACAAAAAAGAAAGAAAAAAGTCATAAAATCTCCATTTGATTCCCCAGCCACTGGAAAAAACAGACCATTTCAACAATCATATTTGGTTGAGCAATTTAAACACATAGTCATAAGATATACTCTCTATATTATTTTAGCCAGTTCTCATCCTCTCAGCACAAACTTCTCACTCCAAAAGAAAAAAGATAAATCAATGCTCATGGTTGCCATCTCCCACATAAATTCTTTACTTACAGTTCTCTTGATAAATCCAAATCCTTGCCTATAAAACTTCCATAACCAAAATCTCACCTACTTTCTACAAAATAAAACCACACTGAAAAATACTCTTAAATCTCACTCCACCCACTCCTCCCTTCTTTGCAAGAAAAGATTGTATACTGTTGTCTATTGTATTATCCATAGACATTTATTTTTGCCCATATGGTATCTTCTTGCCCATGCACATACTCATATTCAAAAGCACTGGAGGCTATGGGTTTTAGATATTACCACCCCACACCCATTGCACTTTGTAGTATCAACTTGAGTGCATATTAACATGATACCTTATGTTTACATAAGAATGTATACAGGGAGATAGCATGAGCTATGTGTGCTTTTCATTTCCTCTAGAGTATTTGAACTATTTCTACCTGAAGCAGCTTTTCATGCAAGTTCCTTTGTTGTGTCATTTTACTGTTGTTTCTTCCTCACACCATTCACATTTGTTTGCTGTCATGGTTTGTCTCTCCCTCCTTAATGTTCTACTTCTTGTTTTTTTTTTTTTGCCTTCAACCATTCTTTTGTATCCATAAATTTTGGGAAATGCTCTGCTGCAACTTATCTCTCATTATCAGCTTACTCTCCTCTAGTATCTCCAGACAGCTGAGCTTCTATAGATAGCCCATGAGCATGTTCTCTACCATAACTGTAAGAAAGATGCAATAACTGCAAGAATACAATGTATAGACAGTCAAAATCCTCTTTATTCTGATAGTTTTAGTCCTATAACTCCAGAAGCATAAGGAAGAGCAATACCCATAAAAGATCGATCGCGTTGAGCTGACACAGCAAGTGGACAGGCTTAGCGAGCCAGTAAAGCTCAGTTGCCTCTACAAACACACTGTCCTGGTGACATTTCTAGAAGTTATAAGGTCTTTTTTTGGTGGTGGTGGTAGCAGGGGTTGTGTGTGTATGTGAAGTCTCAATCATCTTGACAAACTCCCTGAGGTAAACTCTACTTAGTTTCTTTCATGACTGGTAACTAAGTGAACGCAGCAGAGACTATGGAACAATAAAAGAGCCTGGAAGAAAAGACATTCCAGTCATACTCACTAAAAACTGTAGTCTGACTCAGTCTTTGAGACAAAGGCTGAAAGCTCTGACTATTCTCCACAATGTTTAAAATTGCTTCTTCATTAATAAGTGCTTCCTCTTCTTTATCAGTATGCATCCTATTGGATTCTTTAAAAGAAAAACAAAAAAAGAAAGGATAAAACTTCAAAGAGTCATAGACGTCAATACATTATGAAAGCAAGACACTTTAAAATGGATTTACTGTTCAAGCATGTTTCCATTATTTGCTATGGCAATTTTAAAAAGGCTTACTCTAACAATGAAAATAAAAGCAAAACTGCTCTTCATTTTTTTGTAACTGACAATCGGATCTTCCTTGCCTTACTTCTGCTAGTAGTATAAACAGCCAAAGCATGACATAGATTTACACCTAAACAATTATGCTATTAAAAATACTCACCTTTGTTCATCTTTTTATCTTTATGCACTTCTACCATATTAGCTGGCGTACACTGAAAGGCTTCAGGAGAAAGTACCTCAGAATGTAGTGTTAGCTCAGCAGAGAACTCCTCTGATCCATTACTGTAGTCCACTGATCCTGACAACGTTCTAGTTAATTGAAAACCAATTTTTAAATGCATATTTAAGGTTTGCACAGAATATCATACTTTATGGCAAATGGCTAAACACTTACACAGAGAAGTCATTTTGCTTGAGGATTTCTTTAAGTCTCTTCTGAAAAAATTTTTCACTCTCTGTTGCTGGCACAAATCCACGGTCTTTAAAATTTGAAAAATATTTGTTATTCAGTTTGACCTCTCAACACAGAGAGCAGCTAACATTACTAATTCTATTAGGAAATGGCTCAAAGTTGAAGGGTCCACTAATTTTAAGTGCCAAATTTGAGGGTTAATTTTCCAAGTGTATTTAAACACTTCAAAATACTTCAAATACTCCCATTGATCTCATCTGCAATTGCGAGTATCAACAGCATTTACAAATCATGTTGCCATTACACCAAGGTGAGCATCCAGGACAAGAAAAATCAGTTAGCAGTTCTGAAAAGTCTGGTTTATGCAGCCTGAGTAATACTACATAGAAACGCAGGAGAAAAACGGAGTGAGAAAACAGTCCGCCTTAGCCAGGAACCTGCCTCTTTCCTTGCAATCCTCTGGCTCACTTCCCAAATATCATTCATATTTTAAAAGAAACACGGCCTAGGTTCTGCAGAGAAGAGCTCTGTTCATTATGCAATTAATTTGCAGAGCACGGTCTTCCCAGTGCAATGAATTTTACATAAAAATCCAGGGATTTGTCCATCCTTTTAGAATTTTCATCTAACATCATCTTAGCTATAATTCCACAGAAATTCAAAGGAACTGCCCTTGTGCATAAACTACTACAGAAAGCTTCAGGATAAGAGATTTCATTTTGCCCGTATTTAAACATTCAAATGTTTTCCATCATAAAGGATGCAATCTTAACCGTCATTATCATTCATTCTGCCTAGAATGCTTCGCAGCTAGCTGAATCGTGATGTTTTTAGGCAAGGTTACGTATCTTGCTTTTAAAATTGGAATACATGTTCTGGGAAATCAGTAAACTTGGAACTGAAAAAACAGTCCATCTAAAAAGCCCTCAAACTTGATACAACAATTTAAATTCTACCTCCTGCTTGCTTCTCATTCAAGGTTTTTGATAAACAGCTGCACAATTATATATTTATATATTTTTTTTTACCTTGTGACTCAGGTGGCTTAATCTGAGAAGATTCACATTTCTGTCTCCGTCGCTGCTTTTCATCTTCCCATATAGCTTGCAAACCAGGGTTCCTGCCAACCTGGGCTGAAATACGCAATAATACATGAAGGGAAGTCTGTCAATGTGACGAAGCATTCTTCCCCCAAATTAGATTCTTGACACTCTTCTCAATCGCTTTTGTCATTCTAACTTGTTATTTTTTAAATTGCAATTCTTGCCTTACTCTAGCATTCAGTGTTATGTAAAATTTAAGGTGTAACTTTATTTGTTTTCTAGATCTCCTATTTGTTATCTACGTCTTTGGCTTTTGCTAGTCTGCTCACCAAGTATGTGTGTGTATTTATGTACAGATATACGTACATACACATGCATACTGATATTGATACTTCACTTACTCTCCTTATAGGTCTGAATGCTTCTGTTATGCATTAACAAAAATCTCTTTCTATTGCTCTGACAATAGGCTATTCTTATAACCTGTTTTCTTTCAGACTCCATTCTTTTTTTTTTAAAAAAAAAAAACACCTTTATGAATTCACCAACACTGAAATCATAGAATGGTCAGGGTTGGAAGGGACCTCAAAGGTCATCTAGTTCCAACACCCCTGCCATGGGCAGGGAAACCCTCCACTATACCAGGTTGCCCAAAGCGTCATCCAACCTGGCCTTGAACACCCCCAGGGATTCATAGATTCATAGATTTCTAGGTTGGAAAAGACCTTGTAGATCATCGAGTCCAACCATCCCTAATCCCCACTAAACCATATCCTCAAGTAGATCATCCACCCTATTCTTAAACACATCCAGGGATGGGGACTCAACCACCTCCCTGGGCAGCCTATTCCAGTG